TGTTTGGTATGTCGGTAGTGCAACACACAGGGTCTGTTGTGGAGAATTATAGGGGACTACTTTGCCCAGTTTTTAGTTTTTTGTTTTACCTACATTATCTCCTACTTAGCTCTATAATCTTTTTTTAATTTATTTATTATTTTTGAAATATTTTTATTTTATATGTATGAGTGTATTGCCTGCATGTAGGTAAGTGTTATTTTATATGTATCATGCCTGTATTTATTGCCTGCATGTAGGTAAGTGCACCCATGTTGTGCAGTGCCCGTGGAGGTCAGAAGAGGCTGTTGGATCCCCTGGGACTGGAGTTATGGACAGTTGTTAGCTGCCATGTGGATGCTGGGGTTCGAACCCAGGTCTTCTGCAAGAACAACCAGTGTTCTTAACCACTGAGCCATCTCTCCAGCCCCTATAATCCTTTTTTTTTTAATTTTTTACTAAAAGTTTTATTAAAACTTTTGTATGCAACCTAAAGTTTTTATTCTCCCTGAGAGCTGAGAGCCCAGAGTCTTTCTTAAGGAATTAAGTGTATTTATTTCTCAACAAAAATGAATTTTCTAAGACTGGCAATAGAGTCAGCTGGTTGAGTGCTTGCCTTGCATGCAAGAAGCCCTGGATTCCTTGGACAACACATTATAAACAAGGTGTTGTGACACACACCTATGCCATCCCAGCATTGGAAACACAGAGGCTAGATATGCACGAGTTGTTCAATGTCATCTTTAGCTACTGTCTTTTCCTAATGTGATGAAATATAGGAACAAATTCAATTTAAGAGAGAAAGGGCTTATTTTGGCCCATCATGGTGAAATCAAGGTGACAGAAACTTAACTAATTGCACTGCATCCACAGGAAGAGGAGAGCAATGAATTTGTGTAATGAGCTAGTTCTTTTATATAGTAGTTCAGCACCCAGGTCTAGGGAGTGGACTATTAGGGTGGGTCTTCCTACCTCAGTTAATTTAAGCTAATCCCTCACATGCATGTCCCCTACAGGCTAACCTAATCTAAATAACCCCTCACAGCTGTACCTTGAGGCTTGTCTGCTAGATCATTCCAAATCCTGTTGACAGTCAACATTAACTATTACAGCTACTTAGCAAGTTGGTGACCAGCCTGTGCTACATAAGACCTTGTGTCAAAAATTATAGTGCCTAGTGAATCCCAGCACTTGGGAAGCAGAGTCAGGTGGATCTCTTTTGAGTTCCAGGCTAGCCCTACATAGGGAGTTCCAGGCCAGCCAGGATTACATAGTAAGACGAAAAAACAAATAGGGCCAAAATGCTTACCACAAAAACCTGATGACCTAGGTTCAATCCCTGGATCCCTCCCATGGTAGATGGAAGGAAAGAATTGAGTCCCAAAAGTTAAGATAGCTTAGTTAAGAGAGCTTGCTGTGTTGCAGAAAACCTGAATTCAGTTCCCAGCACTCATGTGCTAACAAGTACCTATTAACTCCAGTTCCAAAAGATGCAATGCCACCTTCTGGCTTCCTCTGGTAACTGCACACATACACAAATTATAAGAATTCTTTATTTAAAAAGAGATCCCAGGGCTGGGGAGATGCTCAGCAGTTAAGAGCAGTGACTGCTGTTGCTGAGGACCCAAGTTCAATTCCCAACACCACTAACAAACATCCATAACTTCAGTCCCAGGGGTTCCTATGCCCTCTTCTGACCTCCGAGGGCATTGTACCACATGAGTGCACTTACACACATGCACATAAAACACTCGTACATATAAAAATAGTAAATAAAAAATCTTTTTTTTTTTTTTGTCTTTTTGAGACAGGGTGTCCCTGTAGCCCCAGCTGGCCTGGAACTCACTATGTAGACCAGGCTGGCCTTGAACTCACAGAGATCCACCTGCCTCTGCCTCCCAAGTGCTGGGATTAAAGGCGTGCACCACCACTCCTTGCTAAAAATATTTTTTTAAAAGAGACAGATCCAAGGCTGGGAATGATAGTGCATCCCTTTAACCCCAGCACTTGGGAGGCAGAAGCAAGAAGGATCTCTGAGATCAAGGCCTGCCTTATCAACATGGCAATTCCAGGCCAGCAGGAGCTACAGAAAAACCCAGCAAATTATACATAAAACTATGCATGGTAGCTCAAATTTATAATCCTAACACTTGGGAAGCTGATGCTACACTGAGTTCTAGGCCAGCCTGGGCTACACAGTGTGAGATCCTGTCTCAAAACAATAAAAAAAACTAGTAGATTGGGGGTTGTAGCTCAGTGGTAGAGAACTTGCTTAGCATTCATTAGTATTTTGCTGAGGAATGGAGGTAATATTCTTAGATACCCTTTTTGAAAATTTCTTTATTAGATTACTTAGTGGTTAAGAACACTTACTGCTCTTGAAACCCTGGTTCAGTTTCCAGCACCCACATGGCAGTTCCAATGGATATGATGCCCTCTTTTGGCCTCTGTGGACACCAGGCATGTGTGTGGTGTACATATATATGTATATATATATATATATGCAGGCAAAACACTCCTACACATAAAATCAAAAATCTTTTTTTAAAAAGATTTTCTGGGTGTGGTGGTGCACACCTTTAATTCATCCTAGCACTTCAGAGGCAGAGAGAAGCAGATCTCTGAGATCAAGGACAGCCTGGTCTACATAGGGATTTCCAGGCCAGTTTGGGCTACAGGGAGACCCTCACTCTAAAAACAAACAAAAAAACCCAAAAAAACAAAAAAGGATTAATTTGTTTTGTTTGTTTGAGACAAGGCCTCACTATGTAATTCTTTCTGGCCTGGAACTCTGCCTGAATGTTGATCCTTTTCACCACCCTATTACTCTCTCTCATCACCCCCCTCCTACTGAAACCCTTGTTTTTCAGAAGCTGCCTCCTAATGTAATATTTGATGTCTATTTTGACCCACTAAATTTAATTATGGCTGCTTGGGTATGGTAGGGGGTCATATACTAGAATGTGGATGGGTACTTTTCTGTTTTGGTCTGGTTTTTTTCTAAGATTTTTATTTTATTTTATTTTGGTCTTTTTGAGACAGGGTTTCCCTGTAGCCCCAGCTGGCCTGGAACTTGGTATGTAGACCAGGCTGGCCTTGAACTCTCAGAGTTCTACCTGCCTTTGCCTCCCGAGTGCTGGGATTTAAGGTGTGAACCACCACACCCAGCCCAAGATTTTTGTTATTTTTAATAAGTTGTGTGTGTGTGTGTGTGCATGCACACACACACACACACACACACAGTGGTTTTGTTTTTGTAACAGGATCTCCTGTATCCTAGGCTGTCCTTTAACTTGATATGCAGCCTAGGAAAACTTTCTTTTTCTTTTTCTTTTCTTTTATAATTTGAGAGAAAGAGGAAAAACACAAGGGCCATGGAAGCCAGAAGAGGGTATGAGATCCCCTGGAGCTAGAGTTAGAAGCAGTTGTGAGCTGCCTGAGGTAGGTGCTAGGACCTGAACTCCACTCTAATGCAAGAGCATCAAGTGCCCTTAACTGCTGAGCCATCTCCCCAGCCCCTACCCTATAGATCCCCCTTTACATGGGTTCAGGGGATTGAACTCAGGTCTTCAGGCTTCCTTGGCAAGCACACTACCTGCTGATCCGTCTTGCTGTCCTGAGACCTTAAATCTACAGTTCACACAGTTTTTAAATGGTGTTGGGGATTAAACCCAGGGCTTCATGCATGCTAAGCAAGCATTCTACCAACTAAACTTCATCTCTAGCCCTGTTTTATTTTTTTGTTGTTATTGTTTGTCTGCTTTTTTGACAATTCCTCATTCTTTTTTTTTCCCCCCTCTTTGGTTTTTTTTTTTTTTTTTTTTTTTTTTTTAAACATGGGTGTTGAAGATCTGTCCTGAATCACTATGTAGACAAGGCTGGCCTTGAACTCACAGAGATCTACCTGCCTCTGCCTCCCAAGTGCTGGGATTAAAGGTGTGTGCCACCACACCCAGCCCAATAGTTCCTCATTCTAGCCTGAGCTGTTCTAGAGCTCACTGTATAGTCCAAAGTAACCTCAGACACATGCTGATCTCCTACTTATCTTCCAAATGTTAGGATCACAAGTGCAGTCTATCATTCCTGGCTTGTTCTTATTTTTTGAGACCTCTCTGTATTGCCCAGGCTAGCTTTGAATTCTGCCTCATCCTCCTAAGTAAGGATTGATATATGGCATGCACTGTCATGCTCAAAAGCTCTTTAAAAATTTTTTTTGCCAGGTGTGGTGGTTCATACCTTTAATCTCAGCATGTGGGAGGCAGAGGAATGCTGATTTCTGTGAATTCAAGGCCAGCCTGGTGTACATAACCCGTTCCAGGCCAGCCACAGTTACATAGTGAGACCCTGTCTCAACAAAAAAAAGTTTAACATTTTTTTTTTGTCTTCTTTTTTTTTGAGACAGGGTCTCCCTGTTAGCCCCACTTGGCCTGGAACTCACTGTGCAGACCAGGCTGGCCTTGAACTCATAGGAGGCCTGCCTCTACCTCCTGAGTGCTGGGATTAAAGGCATGCAACACCATGCCTGGCTTGTTCATTTTATGTGGAAGAGGAGGTGCACACATGCCACAGAATGCATATGGCAGTCAGATGACAACTTCCCATAGTCTCCTTCTATCGTAGTTCTCTCCTTCTGCCATGTGGGTCCTGGGAATCAAACTCTTGTCAGGCTTGGGGGCAAGTGCCTTTACCCACTAAGCCATCTGACTGACCCCAAAGGGTTCTTTTATGTCAATCTAATATTCCATTCCTCTCCTTACCACAAAGTTGTACTGTTCAGATCCTGTGTAGATTTTAATTCTAGACATAGCACAGGTACTTGGATGGGACTGGAGGAGAGATAGGCCTATGTTTGCTCATATGGTCTGGTATGCCTCCTTGGCCAACTTGTTGTGGATATCAGCCTTCCTGATTCTATCCCAATTTGTACTGGAATCTGGGTTAATGGAGGCGGTCTCTTTAAGAACTGGTTTGGTGGCCCGCCCTCCAGAGCCATCTGCTGAATGTGAGTCACATGACTCATGGCTCTTCCGCTTACTAAGCTTGCTGCTGCTGCTGCATGTGGAGCCCTGAGGAGCCCCGCTGGGGCTGGGGACCCAGGGCCCCAACCTCCTTGGTCCTTTTGAGTGTCCTTGTGTCTGCAGCTCCATTGGGCCTGCTGGGGGAGGAGACACGCCAGGTAAGGGCTCTGGGACTAAAGTAGTAGATGTTTCCTGAAATCCTACCATTCTAGGGTGGCCGGAATCTGGGGCAACAAAGGTGTGGAGGGTGGCTGTAAAGAGAAGTACCAACCTAGAAGATCCAGGGCGGAGCCATGAGTGATAGGAAGGGACTGCAGAGGACAAGCATGACAGTTTTTTTGCCTTCTGCTGGCTCTGAACCGTGGCTCAGTGTTAGTGGCCCAGAACAGGCAAATACTGGGATTTTGCCCTGTGCCTTGCCCTCCTCACCAGGGTCAGGGCAGTCCTGGATCTACCCTAACCCTTCTCCACCCCATATCTGCCCCTAATTCCAGGATTCCCTTTGCACCTACATTTACTTGCCTAGACCCCACGGTCTTTTGCTTTCCCTGGCATTGCCCAGGCCTGGTTCCAACCCCCAAGATTCTTTGCCTGTGACTTTCCCTGATCCTGCTCTCAACTCCACTATTCCATGTTCCAGGTATTTATGGAGGTTATTTCTGGCTGCCCAACCCCCCAGAACCTGCTTTATATCCGAGCAGTGGGCACCAACTCCACCCTGCACTATGTATGGAGCAGCTTTGGGCCTCCAGCAGTGGTACTGGTGGCCACCAACACCACCCAGAGTGTCCTGAAGGTCAACTGGAGTCTCCTGCTGTCCCCTGATCCTGAGGGGGGCCTGATGGTGCACCCCAAGAACAGCATCCAGTTTTCTTCTGCCCTCGTCTTTACCAGGGTGAGATTGGAGGCAGTCAGGGAGAAGAGCACAAGGAGAATTCTCTCCCAGAGGGAGAGGGAAGGGCGGGTAATGTAGGTGCAGATGCACAGCCAAAGGTAGGGGTGAGAGGGAGGGATGTTTAGGAGAAGGCCAGAGAGAGGCAAGCCCAATTCCATTCCACCCTGCCCCAGTTGCTGGAGTTTGACAGCACCAAGGTGTCTGAGGGGGCTGCAGAGCCCCCAGGAAAACCGTATCCTCCATACTCCTTGGACAAGTTCTCCTGGAACAATATCACATTGGACCCTGACACCCTAAGCACCACATTTCAAGGCCACCCTATAGACGACCCTACTGGAGCTTTTGCCAATGGCAGCCTGGCCTTCAAGGTGAGGATGGTTTATAAGGATGGGAGTATCTCTCAGGCTTCTGTCTCCCTATATGCTTTCCATGCCTTCTCCTTCCTAGGTCCAGGCCTTTTCCAGATCTGGTCGACCTGCCCAACCCCCTCGTCTTCTGCACACAGCAGATACCTGCCAGCTAGAAGTGGCCCTGGTTGGGGCCTCTTCTCAAGGAAATCACTCTCTGTTTGGCTTGGAGGTAGTCACCTTGGGCAATGGCCCTGATTGCCCCTCAATGAAGGAGCAGCGCTCCATTGATGATGAGTATGCACCTGCTGTCTTCCAGGTCAGGTTTCCAGTGGAAGGTAGATGGGTGGGAATGTAAAGTGGGACCCTATTAGAACCCAAGAAAAATCACTAAAACATTATTTTTTAAATATTTTAAATTTTAATTTTTCTTTTATGTATGTTTTCCTACATGTAAGTGTGCATGCAATACCCATGGAGGCCAGAAGAGGGCATCAGATCCCCTGGAACTGGAGTTTCGGATGGTCATTAGCTGCTGTGAGGGTGCTGGGAACTGAAACTAGGTTCTCTGTAAGAGCAATTAAGTGCTCTTAATCACTTTCTCCAGTCACAACCTTTTTTTTCATGGTCTTTTTGAGACAGGGTCTCCCTGTAGCCCCAGCTGGCCTGGACTCACAGAAATCCACCAGCCTCTGCCTCCTAAGTGCTAGGATTAAAGCATCACCATGCACTGCTCCAACCATTTTTTTCAAAAGATTTTTATTCTTAGCTGGGCGTGGTGGCGCACGCCTGTAGTCCCAGCACTTGGGAGGCAGAGGCAGGCGGATCTCTGTGAGTTCAAGGCCAGCCTGGTCTACATAGTGAGTTCCAGGCCAGCTGGAGCTGCAGGGAGACCCTGTCTCAAAGAATCTACTGTTTCATACAGAAAAGCTCATTTTTAATGCAAATAACACTTAGATGTTTGTACATGCGTCTCTAATCTCTATGTATCTGATTATTACTAGTCACAGTCACTTACTTTCTAAGATCCTTGGCACCTGAGCATGAATGTAAAGTCATCAGGTAGATTTCAATGGTAATGTTTTTCACATCTACTAATTGTTAAGGAGCAAATTTTTATGCTTTGAAGAATTATTTTTTTAATCATTTTTTAATTTTATTTTTAATAACTACATGCCAGAGCAACATGCTTCTTTCACATGCTGCTTTTATGGGCATGTACATATGTCTTTTTGTGTGTACACATGTGCATGCATGGGCTTCTTAGGTCCCTGTGGAGGCCAGAAGAGAGTATTGGATTCCCTGGGGCTGGACTTACAGTTATGTCACCCAGTGTGTAATCTTGGAATCAATCTTTGTTATTTACTAACACTGTCTTTGGCTTTTCTGAGTGTTGGATTAGTTCTAATTTACCCCCCAGTCTCTGCCCTCCTAGGAAGAATACTTTTGCAGTGCCGGATGACTCATGCTCTGCAGATGGGATTCTCCTTTACTGGGGCCCAGAGAATGGAGCAAGTGCAGAATGGCAGGGCTGTCGCTGCTCATTCAGTCAACTCCCCTTTCTATAGGGAAGAGATAGGACCCTGCTGCAGATATCGTCGGTTCTATAACTACACCTAGTACTTAGGACTCTTGTTGACCTTACAAACTGCCTGTACTCCTAGTGACATGCAGCTGGGAGGGGTGGAGCGGGAGAGGAGTTGAGCACCAGGTGGTCCTCATCACCCTGCCTTATTTGCTTTTCTCTCCAGTTGGATCAGTTGCTGTGGGGCTCTTTACCATCTGGCTTCATGCAGTGGCGACCAGTGGCTTTCTCTCAGAAACAGAGGAACAGAGAATCATCCCTGCCCTGCCAGGCTTCCTCTCTTAGCCCCACCTTGGCATATTCTCTCCCTCACTCACCAATTGTCCAAGCCTTCTTTGGGTCCCAGAACAATTTCTGCACCTTCAATCTGACATTTGGGGATCCTACAGGTCCTGGCTACTGGGATCAACACTACCTCTGCTGGTGAGAACCAGAGCTGGGACCAAGGGTTGGGGAGGTCAAAGTGGAAGAGGGCTGTACCTCTCAGCCTTCCTTCCTAAGCCTGCTTACCTCTCTTACCCTCTTGTTCTAGGTCGATGCTTCTGGGTGTGGGCCTCCCTCCAATAGACTCCTTATCTCCACTAGTCCTGGGAATCATGGCAGTGGCCCTTGGTGCTCCAGGGCTTGTGCTGCTGGGAGGAGGCCTGGCTCTGCTGCTGCGCCACAAGTGGTATTCAGAGTACCAGTCTATAAACTGAGACCCACTCTAGATCTAGAGGGAAGACATGACTGTATCTGCCTTGCTATGCCACAAACTGTTGGAGGTTGGAGGGTCGGTGTCTTGTTGTTTGCTTTTCTGCTGAACCTCAGAAACAAGCTTCAGCTTACTGGGGGCCCCCACGTATCCTTCCTACCTTAGGGAGGGGTTAGGGTTACTGGTAAAAGGAAGACCCCCTTGTGTCATTCCCTGCTCCCATTTCTTTTGAATGAAACTTGAAAACCTATACAAGAATGACTTTTTTTTCCTCATGGTTCCAATCTCTTAATGTATGAGTGCTATTAGTTTGATTTGGGGCTGATTCCAGGGAATGGGAGGGCTAAGATATGGGCTTGGAAGGCATTTTCTGTTTGAGGGCTCATTTCCTCACCAGTTCTGTCTCCCCAAGGCTCCTGTCAGCCACCCTCCACAATAGAAGCAACTGGGAGATTTCTCCAGCTGTCTAAATCAAACAGGAAAGGACACTTATGACTAGGATGTGAGGCAAGTAGGAAGAGTCAGCCAAAGGAGGTTAGCAGTATTTATTGTTATGTATTCACGAATATAGTAGGTTAACAGCAGATGCTGTGTCTTCCATTCACTCCCCTGTCACCACATGTAGGTACACACACAGCCCTTTTGAGAATTTGGTTTCCCTGTGTTCTCTTGTCTTCCAGTGGGACTTCTGGAGTTTGAAAGTGGAAATTTACAGGGGCCTACATGTTTGGAAGAGGGGAGGCAGCAGTGTTAATAGTCCTGATGAGGATAAAGGTGAATGGCCCTTGAAGCCAGTGGCACAGTCTTGAAACCAGGCCCCCTAGGCAGGTTCTCACCAAGTGTCAAGTCCTTATTTGATACGATAAGGACCTGTCATTGGGCATGAGCAGTTTTCCCATCTCCTTGAGTTCTGCCTGGACAGCTGATAGAAACAGTTCTGGTTGGGCTCTGGCTCTGCACCCCTGCGTCACGGGAAGCTGGGGAGTGGAGTAGCGGGCAGCCAGCATTAGTGCACCTGTGGCAGTGCAGTGGTGGGAGGTGGCCCAGGTAGAACCATGCTTCTCCAGTCTCTCCCTTATGATCTTCTCAGGCTCCAGTGATGAAGCAGCAGCTAAGAATGAGCAGAGATCCGTCTGGGCCCTGTTGGGTGGGACCCCTATGAGGCAGAAGCAAGATTTGTCTGAAGTTTCAGATCTGGAGCAAGTGCTCATAGAAGCCAGCAAGCGGCCAGCTCCTAAGGGCTCAGCCCCAGGGGTGGGGCCTGTAGTCCGAGGCAGATCTCACATGGTCGGGGTAGTCCAGGCGGCTCTCGGAAGCTGTGAGCATGCGCTCTGGCTCCACCACGAACATGTAGTAGAGGTTCCATACCAGCATGGCCAGCAGCGGCAGGAAGGTCAGGCCATAGCCAAAGCCTCTGAAGGAACGGCCCACAGCGAAGGTCAACCAGTATATCAGCCTGTAGGAGCATGACAAGGATCGGCTACTCTCCAGAGCCCAGCCAACTGGTCAAGGGCAGATAGTAGGAGGCAGTGAAGAACGCAAATGGGAGTGGGTGTTGTGGCTGCTACTGCTACAGACAGTATGTGTTCACAGTGTGCCAGGAATGTGGCTGATTGCTATATGATTTGATTTGCTTTCTCACGTTCCTCTGAAGTGAGAATATTATTCCCCTCACCTCTTATTTACTTTCAAAATTAAATTTTTAAGTGGGCAATGTACATTTACATGGTTCAGAATTAAGTGAAAATTCAATTTTAATATTCTTCCCCTTTACTGATTCCCACCCTATTCTCCCCCAGTCCCACCCTAGGCAGCCAATGTTACCATTTCTTATGTGTTACACTAAGTTGTTTGTGGTTCAGGGTTTCATACAAAGCAAGTGCTTTGCCACTGAACTATATCCCCAAGCACACACACGCACACACACACACCCGTTTCTCTCCTGCCTTCATCTTCCAAGCACTGGGATTATAGGCTATGCTTCACCACCATGGTGCTGGGGATTGAACCCAGAGCCTCCTACATGTTAAGCAAGCACTCTACTAACTGAGCTACATCCCTAGCCCACTGGTTTTGTTTTGTTCTGTTTTTGAGACTGTCTCACTATGTAGCTCTGGCTGGCTTCCTAAGCAAGTACTGGGATTACAGGCCTGCACCACAAGGGTCAGTTCTCATTCTTTCATAGCTCTAGTGTGTTCCATTGTATTTGCCCTTTTGCAGATAAAGATATCAAGAGTAAAGGGATATGGGATCACATCTTGGAGATAGCAAAGCCATGATTTGAACCCAAGCCTGTTCATCAGCCCTTCTAGCATTTTTGAGAAGCAGGGGGGGAAGGGAGAGTAAGGAAGACAGCTTCAAGAGGGCCTAAGGGGCTGGAGAGATGGCTCAGCGGTTAGGAACACTGGTTGGTCTTGCAGACGACCCAGGTTCAAAGCCCAGCACCCACATGGCAGCTCACAACTGTCCATAACTCCAGTCCCAGGGGACCCGAGAGCCTTTTCTGACCTCCTCAAGCATTGCACAACACGGGTGCACTTACCTACATGCAGGGAATACACGCATACACATAAAATAAAAATAATAAAATATATTTTTTAAAAAAGGGCATGAGGGCCAGGCATGATGGTAAATACCTACAAATCTAGCATTAGGGAGCCTGAGGCAAGAGCATCCAATGTTTTTTTTGTTTGTTTTGCTTTTTTGAGACAGGGTCTCCCTGTAGCCCCAGCTGGCCTGGAACTTACTATTTAGACCAGGCTGGCCTTGAACTCACAGAGTGTGTATGTGTGTGCGTGTGCCTGCCTCTGCCTCCCAAGTGCTGGGATTAAAGGCATGTGCCACTACACCTCAAATCCAGGTTTGAGGCCAGGCTGCACTACATGGTGACTCTCTCAAAAGGAAAACAAAACAAAGCTCCCCTTTTACCTAGACACGGAAGCACATGCCTATAACCCCAGCTCTTTGGGTGGCTGAGGGAAAAACTAATTCCAGATCAGCCTAAGTAATTTCTTTTCTAAAAAAAAAAAAATCTCCTTACATCTCCTTAACCATTCTCTCAAACTACATGCTTCTCACTCAACAAGGAAGGTAAGGAGAAAAGCTTCCTATTTATTTTATTTTGGCTTTGGAGATAGGGCCTCACTCTGTAGCCAGGGCTGGCCTGTAGCCCAAGCTTTAGCTGCTCAAGTGCTGCCCCACCAAGCAACTCCTGCCTCCAAACTAACCCCAGCTCAATTTCTTTTCCCTTTTCCTTATTTGTGTGTGTGTGTGTGTGTGTGTGTGTGTATGTGTGTATTTTGAGACAGCATCTCACTGTTAAGGTTAGCCTGGAACTCAGGATGGCTCCCAGGCTGGCCCTTTCTATTTAAAAAAATAGTGCCCTTAGGCCAGGCGTGGTGGCACTGCCTTTAATCCCAGCACTGGGAGGCAGAGGCAGGCAGATTTCTGTGAGTTTGAGGCCAGCCTGGTCTACGTAGCAAGTTCCAGGCCAGCTGGGGCTATAAGGAGACCCTGTCTCAAGACCGAAAAAAAAAAAAAAAAAACTTCCCTAAAGCTGGTGCAGTGGCTCAGGCTTGCAATGGCAGCACTTGGAAGGCTGACACAAAAGGATTGTCAAGAGTTTGTGACTATAGTGAAATAGGAAGACCTTCTCTAAAACAAACAGCCCCCCACCAGGAGTAAAGGAGAGCTTCAATAGACATACTAAAGGATACCTAAAGCTAGGGTTCAGCTCAGTGGTGTGAGATGTGAGGTCTTGGATTCAATCCTCTACAAGTAAGTATATAACATTTGAAAGCCATCCTACATTGGCATGTCTCTGAAATCGGTTTCTGGTAAGACAGGAGCTTGACCACTTGCTACCCATTGAAGGTCCAAGTGGACTCAACCATGCACGGAACACACCTAGAAATCCCCTGCTCCTCTGGGATTCAGCTACCTGGCACCCTCTACTACCATCACAGCACCCCATGCCCACTCTAGCCCTACTCACCGAGAGATGGCAAACAGACCAGTGAGCAGAGGGAGCAGCTTGAGGGTATCCTGGGGTAGATAGGTGGAAAGCACAGCCAGGTTAAAGAAGTACAGGATGAAGAGCTGGACTGACTGCGCCACGTACTGTCTGTGGATCTCCACTTCCCGCCTTGGCTCTCCGAAAGGCCGAAGGGCAGAAAAGCACAACAGGCTCAGCCCATACACCAGGAGCCCTGGGCAGGGTAGGAAGCACAGGGTCAGAGAAGGTAGGAAGCCTGGGACAGGGTTCACAGAATCTGGCGCTTACACCTGGGCTCTACAGAGTGGGCACAAGTGGTCCCGGGAGGAGGGAGGCAGAGGGTGGCAGGTCTGGAAGGCCCTGAGGAGTTCCTGTAAGATGAAGGGCACCCCCCACATCCAGACCCCTCAAGTCTACTTCCTGGGTGCCCCATCTTCCCCCAAGGCCCAGACTCACCCAGCACAATGGGGAAGGTGGCAAAGACCCCACAGCGAAGCGTGTAGACCAGGCGGGAGCTCATGGTGGGCAGCCTCGGAGCATCAAAAGGCAGGAAGGCGTACGCCCCGTACAGCAGGCAGGGGAAGAAGACGAGGGCAGCCACCACTGAAGCCACTGCCCTCAGCGCCTCGCGGCCCCCACAGCTCCCACAGCCCCCACAGGACCAGCCAGGTGGCCTCACGACGGCCTCAGCCCACTTGCGTTCGGGGGGCTCAGGATGGCTGAGTCCTGCAGACAGGAAATTCCGGCGCTCGGCTTGGCTAGCCTCACAGCGAACGATGAGATCCTCCTGGGGCCGCCGCTCAATGCACCGTAAGTCAATAGGTACGAAGGCCCTAGCAGCCTTCTCAGGGAGCAGGTTGGCATCCTCTTTGAGTAGCTCCTCTGGCTTAGTGGATGGCTCCGATTCTAGGGGCTCTGGTTCAATATCTCGCCAGCCCGGGGGATCCAGAAATGGGGCACTGGGCTGGGGGTCAGCTCCCCAGGGCAAAGTAGCAGCCTCGCTGACTGTGCTGTCTGGACCATGCTCAGCTCCCTCTCTGACTATGGGAGACCCAACTGAAGACTCCACTCTGAGGGACTCTACTCCAGGAGACTCAGCCCCATGGTCCCCCTCTGGCTGCCGGCCATTGGGGACCAAAGCCTGTGGTGGGCTCTTCTCCGGAGCTTCAGGCCCCTTCATTTCCAGAAGGACCAGGGTCTCGGGTTCTGTCATTGTGGGGCTTCAGTTCTGAGGTCTACTGCATCTTCTAAAGGGAGCAGAGGAAAGCTCTGTGAGAATACCTTCCCTTCTGTCCCTGAGGACAGTTCATCAAAACGGGAACTCCCCAGAGCAGTGGCCTCATGGGACCTTAGGGAGAACACAGTATGGAGGAAGGTGTTGAAACACAGGGAGGGGGAGGGTTGAAATGGAGGCAGCCTTTCAAATTGAATGTCATCTAGCAGGACAAGGGTGAGTCAGGGGGCACAAGCCTAGCAGCTGTGGCCTCAGTCAGCCCCACCCATACCTTCTACCCTCTCCACCAAAATCCCTGGAGACATGGCCATTCTAATGCTGGAATGGGAGGAAGAGGTGTCTAGATCTCAGCTGAGAGCTTCTTTCCAGCCTAAAATCTTGTAGGCAGAAATACTGCCCCCCGGACTCTCCCTTTGCCTTGCACATAGAGCCCTGACTGGAACTCTTTTGGCAACTGCTACCAGTGGCTAGCTAGCTACCAGATGTGTCTGGAGGACTTACCAGTTGCCAAATACTGTATTCTTTAGTCTCCAGTCCAGGAGTTAATCATTCTCTAGCACCACCAGAACCCCCTTCACCCCCAGCCCACCTCATCCAATTTCCCAGGGTTGGGGCTCTACTCAGACTCAACTCTACTGTGACTGTTCCCATGCCTTCCCTCCCTGCAATCCACTATCCCACCCCTTCTGGATAGGTCTCCTTCCCTTCCTTCACCCCAACAGCCCCTCCTACCCCTTCCCTTTGGACCCACGATACCCTCTTACTTTATATCTGCGGAGAGGTGGAGGATCCCCAGCATTTGGAAAGGAACTGCTCAGCTCCCAGCTGGCTCTGCAAGTATTTCCCTCTGTTCCCTCCTGTGTCTCCAAACCTGTCTGACCAGAGCAGGTGGGGCCCAGATTAAAGGGGCAGGCCCTACAGAATCTGGAAGCACTAGAGGAGGTCACTGTTTCTAAAAGTACTTGAAAAGACAAGCGCACTGGGCACAGAGGTGTGTGTATTTTAGGCACTTGGGGTGTGTAAGGGCTCCCAGCTCAGAAAGGAGCCGGGGAAGAGTGGTGCTTGGAGCAGGGAGGGATGCCTAGAAAAAAGAGAGAGGTTTTGGTGGGATTTTTTGTTTGTTTGAGACAGAGTCTTCCTCTAGCCCCATTTGGCCTGGAACTTGCTATGTAGACTAGACTGGCTTAGATCTCACAGAAATACACCTAATTCTGCCTCCTGCCACCATGCCCAGCAAGAGATAGAATATGTACATTTGTTCATTCAGTAAATGTTTACTGAGTATCTGTTATTAATAATATGCTATTCTAGGCACAGATGGATAAGAGAACAGAATGACAGTCAAGATCTCTAGTTACTGGGTCAACAGACAATGAAGCCTCACGATTAAATCAGTAAGAGAATTTCAGTAGAGAAATTTATGGTGACATTTAAGCTGAAACCTGATGAGAAGTCAAGAGTATGACAGCTCCAGCAGGGCGTGGTGGCACACGCCTTTAATCCCAGCACTGGGAGGCAGAGGCAGGCGGATCTCTGTGAGTTCAAGGCCAGCCTGGTCTGTATAGTGCATTCCAGACCAGCTGGGGCTACAGGGAGACCCTATCTCATAAACACCAAAAAAAAAAAAAAAAAAAGCAATAGAATGCTAGGGATGTTGGCCTCACGCCTTTACCTTTAATTCCAGCACTTGGGAGGCAGAGGCCACAAAATCTCTGTGAGATTGAGACCAGCCTGGTCTACAGAGCAAGTTTGAGGCCAGCTGAAGCTACAAAGAAACTCTGTCTTACCTCTCAAAGAAAAAGAAAGCAATAGGAATCCAAGTTAGATAGAGGGTGATCTTCCTCCTTTCCAAATCCAGGATCCTTCCAATGCTGTAGCCAAGTACTCTTCCACTGAATTTTACCTCAGTCCAGAAGTTCAGCGGTATCTAATGGCAAAAGGATTTGGCTCAAGTGGGGAGGTCAAGGGACAGGATGGACTAGCCAGCTACTGTAGGACACACCAAGGGGTATATTTCTAGCTGTGAGTCCACACACCCCCATTTAGCTTCCACTGTCTCATTTGGCTCACTGTTCCATCTCTGGAAGCTTTTTTAAAAAAGTTATTTGAGAAGTTTATATATGCCTACATTGTCTTTTGGTCAAATCCACCCCCCTTACCCTCCCCTCCAATTTCTCCCTTATCTCAAATACCACTATTCCCTCTCAACTTCATGGGGTTTTGTTGTTGTTGTTGTTTTGTTTGTTTGTTGTTGAGACAAGATCTCATTGTGTAGGCCTAGCTGGCCTAGAACTCTCTATGTAGACCAGGGTAGCCTCAAACTTCCAACAATCTGCCTGTCTCTGCCTTCTACGTACTGGGATTGGATTAAAGGTGAGTGTCAGGCCAAAGCCATTTTTTTAAACCCATTGGGTCCACTTAGTGTGCATGGGTGTAGGACAGTCCTTAGGTAGTCCCTCAGGTGCAGCATTCCAGAAGAAAAGCACCTCTCCCTTCTCTAGTAGCCATTAATTTGCCAGTAGCTTCTCAGCTAGTGAGTGGTACAGCTTCATAAGCTGCTCTCTAGCGATGCTGGGAGTTTGGCTGACTTGATCTTATGTGACTCTTGTACATGCAGTCACAGCTGTTGTGAGTTCATGTGTGCAAGGGCAATGTCATGTCCTGCAAATACTGTTTGGCTTCAGAGGGGCTTTTACAATCTTTTACAATCTTTCCACCCCTTTTTCTGAGGCTTGTTGATAGTTGTCTCAATTAGAGCTAAGTGATTTCTTCTCCACTGGAAGGTTTCAAAAAAATTTTTTTAACTTATATTTTTGTTTTATGTGTATGAGTGTTTTGCCTGCATGTTTGTTAAGCATACTGCCTGTGTGCGGTGCCCTTGGAGGCCAGAAGAGGGTGTCAGAGCCTCTGGAACTGGAGTTACTGAAGGTTACTTTGTGAGTGTTGGAAACAACCTAGGTCCTCAGCAAAAGCAACAAGTGCTCTTAACAGCTGAGCCATCTCTCCAGCCCCCCCTATTTTTTTTAAATTTAATTTTACAAATATTTAACAAATTATTTTTAGTTATATAAACTATGAGTGCATATGTGTCAGTGCACCAGTGTAGTTCAATGCCCACGGAGTTCAGAAAAGGGCTTCGGATCCCCTGGAACTGGAGTTATGGATGGCTGTTAGCGGCCAAGGGGGTATTGGGAATTAAACCCAAGTCCTCTGCGAGAGCTACCACTGCTCTTAACCGCTTATTATCATTAATTTCTTTTCGTCTTTTTAAGACAAAAAAAAAAGTCTCACTATGCGGCCCTGGCTGGCCTCATTATGTACACCAGGCTGGCCCAGATCTCACAGATTCACCTACCTCTGCCTCCCAAATATTGCCACTAAAGGCATGTATCACCAAGCCAAGCTAAAAAAAAACAACAACTTTTTTTTGTCTTTTTGAGACAGGGTCTCTTCTTGTAGCCCCAGCTGTCCTGGAACTATGTAGACCAGACTGGCCTCGAACTCACAAAAATCCGCCTGCCTCTGCCTCCCAAGCGCTGGGATTAAAGGCATGCGCCACCACGCCTAGCGCTAAAAATTATTTTCAATTACGTTTTGTGTGTAGGGGGGGGGGCGGAGCGCGTGCCACAGTGCACGTGTGACGGTCAGGATAACTTGCAGGAGTTGGTTTGCTCCTTTCACCGTGTGGGTCCTGGGGACGGAACTTCATGTCACGAAGCTTGGAGGCAAGCACCTTTATCCGCTGAGCCATCTCGCAAACCTGCTTTTTTAAAGAAACAATTTTTTATACTTTATGTGTATGGCTGAACATATGTTAAGTGAACCACACGAGTGCAATGCTCACGGAGGCCAGAGGGCGATGGATCTCTGGAACTGGAGTTACAGACCGCTGTCCGAACTGAGTGCTGGGAACCGAACCAGGGCTCTTAACACGAGCGATCTCTCGAACCGCACCAACCCCCTACCCTTTTTATTTTGAGACAGGGGGTCTCGCTATGTAGCCAGGCTGGGGATTTGCAGCACACTCTGCCTCCGCTTCCTAGGTGTTAGGCTTACAAGCCTGCTCCACTACGCCGGACTTCTCAGAAAGTTTTATCAACAAAGTTTTCCTCAAAGACTCAGAAGTCTAAGAGAAGCCATGCTGCCTAGAGATAACTCTGGTAACTTCCCGGGAAAGAAAGCACTTTTCGCGAGATTTGGCGGCAGCCGGTCACTGGCCTGCATCTGTGCGGCCGCTATCGCGAGATTTGGCGGGCGGAGGAGGAGCCGTCTTGGGCAGCCGCTTCACAGCGATGGCGGCCGAGCAGGGTCGGCGGGGGTGGTGGCTGAAGCTGGAGAGGGCACTGGAGGCGGTAGTGGTGGGTGGCGGGGGCCTGTGATCTAGAGGTGCCCCCGGGCCCGGGCACCATGAGCCAAGGCCCCCCTACAGTGGAGAGCAGCGAACCCGAAGCAAAGATCCTCCACACCAAGCGGCTTTACCGGTGAGAGGGCCGGGGCGCAAGTGCAGCCACGGGCTAAAGCGGGTGGCGAGGGGCGGGGCCTGCGGCGGGCGGGCAGGCGAGGGCGGGGGTGTAGCAGAGCCTGCGAGCGGGGTGGAGCTGGGAAAAAATGGGTAGGTGGGAGGTTTGGGAAGCACGTGCAGCTGCCCTCGCGGCACTGGGTGGTGGAATTGGAAAATTAGGTGGGAATTGGAGACTGGGAAGGTTGAGTAGATGAGGAGGATGGGGGTCACCGATGGAGAAAACCCGGAAGGACCAGTGCTCAGAACCCTGCAGGGTTTACAGGATAATAGACCATGACTGAAGTCCACCGAGCTGGATTCAGGTCCTTGCTCTGCCTGTCTCACGTTGCGACTTTGGCCTCAGTTTCCTTTTCATTAGAAGGAAGGATTTGGATTGGATATACTACTGAAGTTCCTTAGGGCTCAAATGTTGTGGAATCTAATAAGAAGGAGAAGACTAATTGTGTTGGCTAGGAAGAGCCCTGAAGGACTTTTTAGGTCCAGAGTGTTAGGGAACCTGGTGACTCAGTTCTGCCTTCCTCCCAGCCTCATGACACAGTCTCTTGTGGAGGTCAGGAAGAACACAGCCTAGAGCTGAATCACCGTAGGATGAAGCACAAGAGATCAAGCTGAGTTTTCTGCCCTCTAGAAGGCACTGGAGCTTGGGGCACTCATTTACCCCAAGTTTTTGCCAAAGAAGAGGATGGCAGTGCCTTGGGCCCCATCTTGACAGTGAAAGACTCAAGAGTGGGTTGTAGTCCTGTGTGCTGCCTGCTCTGACCTTGTAAGCCAGGTGAAAGGGAGTACAGGCTACCCCAGAAATAGGAAGTTGATCTCTATCAGCAGCCCTTGGCCTCTCACTGTGGAGCTCCAAGCTCTAGTCCCCAGGTGTGTGGAGTTGCCTGGAGGTGGCATGTGTGACTAGTCATGCTGCTAAGTGCCTCACTGCCTGTCCGACGCAGTGTGGGTATTATCTGCAGTATTCTTTACTTGTCTCCAGCCTCGGGGATGGCTCTGGCCAACCTTCTGATTTGCATCAAATCTGCTTTCTCAACCCTTACCTTCATAGGATTGACAGACTTAGCTGGTGTGTCTGCTTATGTGACTTATATGTATCTGTTATGGTGTTGGTTTTGAGTAGGGTAGCGTTTTTGTGAAAGGAACTGGGAGGACAGTCCAACTTCACTAAGATCAATGTGTTGTTAGACTGTGGAGCTGTCCAATGACAGCTTCATTAAATTGGGAAACTTCCAAGACTAGCAGTCTACAGAAAGAAGATTTTTAACATTAAAAAAAATATATATTGGCCAGGCTCGGGAGAGGCAGGCGGATTTCTGTGAGTTCAAGGCCAGCCTGGTCTACATAGTGAGTTCCAGGACAGCTGGGCTACAGGGAGACCCTGCCTCAAAAAGTCAAAAAGACAAATTTTTATGTGTATGCGTGTTACCTGCATGTATCTAAGTGTATCCATGTCATGCAATGCCAGCAGAGGTCAGAAGAGAGCATTGGATTACCTGGAACTGGAATTAATAGTTGTCAGCTGCCATGTGGGTGCTAGGAATTGAACTCCATCCTCTGTAAGAGCAGTCAGTGCTCTTAACCACTGAGCCATCTTTCCAGCCCTCAATTTTAACATTTTCAAAAGGCATCTAAAGAAAAAGAAGCAGGAGAAGGGTTGCTAGGAGGTCCACAAACATCAATTAATTTATTAGGCCAGTTAATACTATACTTGTTTTCAAAACATTTTCTTTATACAATAATGATTTCATCAAGACTAGTTTTCGTGGTTTTTCTTTTTTTTCTTCTTCTTTTTTTTTGGTCTTTTTGAGACAGGGTCTCCCTGTAGCCCCAGCTGGCCTAGAACTCACTATGTAGACCAGGCTGACCCTCAAACTCCCAGAGATCCACCTGCCTCCGCCTCCCAAGTGCTAGAATTAAAGGCATGCACCACCATGCCTGGCGAGACTGGTTTTCATTGTTCTTCTAAAGGAGATTTGTAGTTTCTTGTAGAAGTTTATGGTCTGATAGGGAATCGGGAAAAAAAAGGTGATGAGCTCTCTCAGAATTAAGCATTTGTCCAAAATCAATTAAAAAAAAAAAAAACACCTTAGACAAGGGACTAGGCTGCTGCTCGTGTTGGGGCGGTATTGGGAAGAAGGGCTTGATTCTCTCCACTAGGCAGCCTGGAAGGTGTTTGAAGAAATACTGAGCTCTCAAGCTTGCCTGTGAGAAGGTTTTTGTTTCCATTCCACGCAGTTGGTTGCAGTCAGTCACTTGGCCCTATATGGGATGGCTTTAATCCTGTGCTGCTGAACCACCCTATACAATACAAACCTGCTGTGGTCCATTTTCCCTGGCCTAGGATAATGTCTTAGTGTGTTCTGGGGATCAGCCATCCATGGTTTTTGGTGGTTTTTATGTCCACAGCTGTGCCTAATTCACTCAATCTCAGCTACTACCTGTCATCCTCTTGAGTTTCACCCTTCTAGAGAAGAACCTATCTTTGGGCCATCTACTATAGAGTTTCTGTGGCTGTGTCTTTGCTGTAGTGACAGATTTGTTTCTTAGTTTCTGAAGTCAAACCCCTTATTCTGTCACCAAAAGGAAGGAAATTTAGCATTTCTGAACTTTTACCAAGCACTAGCATAAGTGTTTTATATATTAGTTAATTTATTCCTCACAAAGGTGATTATCTTATTCCCATGTTATGGCACGGTGAACTGAGACACAAGGAAGTTGGGTGTTTTGCTCAGAACCACAGGCTGGTTATATATAGAACTAAAATTTGAACTCAGGGAGTCTGGTTCCAGACCTACTGCCTCCAAGCCTGTGTGACTCTTGCTCTGTAGCCTGGGCTGGCCTGGAACTCACAGTGTTGGGATCATGAACTTGTAGCGCTGGAACTACATGTGCCTCCACATTTAGCTCCAAGTTCTTTTTTAAACAAAATTGCATTTATTTATATTTTGTGTGTGTGTGTGTGTGTATGCTTATGCCATGCATGTCTATGGAGGTAAGAGGACAGCTTGGAGGAGTTGATTCTCTACTACCACAGAGGTCCCACAGATTCAACTCAGGTCATTAGGCCTGGTCCACCCCCTCCCCCTCCCCCACCCCTTTTTTTTTTTTTGATTAGCTAGCTTCAAACCTGTCCTCTATAAGTTTTTTGGTTTTTTTTTTTTTTTTGTTTTTTGAGACCAGGGTCTCCCTGTAGCCCCAGCTGGCCTGCAACTCTATGTAGACCAGGCCGGCCTTGAACTCAAAGAGATATGCCTGTCTCTGCCTCCCGAGTGCTGGGACTAAGGGGGAGTGCCACCAGGCCTGGCTGACAGCTGTTTGTGCTCCTAACCACTGAGGCTACTTCTGCAACCTGGTGCTGCTGCTGCTGCTGCTTTTCCTCCTCGTCCTCGTCCTCTTCCTCCTTCTCCTCCTCCTCCTCCTTCTCCTAAAATTAAATGTAGTCCTGGGACTCAAACCCAAGATTTTATGTATGCTAGGCAAGCACTCTTCCAGTTTAGGTACATCTCCAGCTCCAGGAACTCACATGTAGTCCAGGCACTTACACTCTCAGTGGTCCTCCTGCTTCAGTCTCCTGAGTGCTGGGATTACAGGTTTGTATCACATGTTCATCAAGGCTGTTCTTTTTTAACCAGTAGTAAATAAGCAGTCTTTCATTATAATCTAGGAGACTTTACAACTAAGAATCTTTTAAAGATTTTTTTTGTTGTTATTTTATTTTATTTTTTTGGTCTTTTGAAGCAGGGTCTCCCTGTGGCCCCAGCTGTCCTGGAACTCACTATATAGACCAGACTGGCCTTGAACACAGAGATCCGCCTGCCTCTGCCTCCCAAGTGCTGGGACTACAGGTGTGTGCCATCACGTCTGGCTTGTTTTTATTTTACATATATGAGTGTTTTTGCCTGCATTATGTCTAATAGGCGTTATGTGTGTGCTTGGTGCCCATGGAGCCAAAAGAGGGTGTCAGATCCCCTCTTAACCAGAGTTACAGATAGTTGTGAATTACCATGTGGGTGCTGGAAACCAAACCCAGAGCAGCTAGTGCTCTTAACTGCTGAGCCATTTTTCCATCCCTACAACTAAGCATCTTAACCTCTATCCCATACCCAGCAATTCAAAGCAGAATTTTGTATCAGGAGTGCCGTGTGTGTGTGTGTGTTGGTATTCATGTGCACACATTTGGAGGCTAGAGGATGATAGAGGTGTCTTCTGTCCCTCTCTGCCTTATTCCCTTGCGACAGTCTTTCACTGTACCAGAAGCTGTTCCACTCGGTTGGCTAGCCAGAGAGCATCCATGATCTGCTCATCTATACCTCCAGTGCTGGGGTTACAGGCTTGCACAGTCATGCCCAGCTTTTACATGGTGCTGGGAATTCAAACTCTGGTCCTCATGCTTGCACAGTAAACATTGAGCTATCTCCCCAGCCAAGAATGCCTTTCTTTTATCTTAAGAGCTAAATGGCCCTTACATAATAATAGTTCATGGCACCATTCTTTATTGAGTGCTTATGATATGCTAAAGCTAAAAATAGATTGTTGCATTTAGATCTCACAATATTATTCTGAGTATCTGCATTATAAGATCTATTTTTATTGCTATGGTATCCTTTAAGAGGCTAGGTAATTTGCCCAAAGACACAACCAGGGATCAAAACCTAGACTTTCTGCATGGCACAACAGTCTGCTACCTTAACATTGTTGACATGGGTAGGGTAATTTATTTAAACAGGACCTTGCTTTGTTGCCCAGGCTGGTTTAGAACTCCTTGGTGTAAGTAAGTAATCCTTTTTTTTTTTGGACTTTTAAAAATTTTTTATTTATTTATTTTTGGTCTTTTTGAGACAGGGTCTCCCTGTAGTCCCAGCACTTGGGAGGCAGAGGCAGGCGGATCTCTGTGAGTTCGAGGCCAGCCTGGTCTACATAGCAAGTTCCAGGACAACTGGGGCTACAGGGAGACCCTGTCTCAAAAAGACAAAAAAAAAATATTTTATTTTATGTGTAGAAGTATATTGTCTGCATGTGTGTGATTGCACCCGTGGCATGCAGTGCTGCGGAGGGCAGAAGAGGGTGTCAGATTCCCCTGGAACTAGAGTTAAGGATGGTTCTTAGCCGCCATGTGGGTTCTAGGAATCCAACCCAGGTCCTCTGCAAGAGCAGTCAGTGCTCTTAACTGCTAAGCCATCTCTCCAGCCCCCATAACATATATCTTTTTTTTTCTTTTTGGTCTTTTTGAGACAGGGTCTTCTTGTAGCCCCAGCTGGCCTGGAACTCACTATGTAGACCAGGCTGGCCTTGAATTCACAGAAATCCCCTGCCTTTACCTCCAGAGAGCTGGGATTAAAGGCATGAGCCACCAGCCTGGCAGAACTAAGTAATCTTCTTGTCTCAGCCTTCCAGGTACCTGGATTACAAAAGTACACTACCAAGCCAGGCGTGGTGGTGCACGCCTTTGGTCCTAGACTTGGGAGGCAGAGGCAGGCGGGTCTCTATGAGTTCCAGGCCAGCTGGGGCTACAGCGAGACCCTGTCTCAAAAAGACAAAAAAAAACTAAACAAACCCCAAAACAAAACAAATGTACACCACCATGTCCCCCTTAAGGTAGTTTTTAGTGGGTTTATCAATGCACTGTAAGGTATACCCACTAAATACCAATAGCATCTCCCCCAGTTGGGACAACAAAAAATATCTACAATCCTTGCCAAATGTCTCCCAGTTGGGGACTGCTTTATGAGGGTAGTCTGTGTTTCTGTTTTGTCTAGTGCTCAGCCTACGGCCTGTCTTTTTGTTTCTGTACCCCTAATTCTTTAGCTTAGCTTCCTCCCCTCTCCTCCCTTCCCCCTCCCCTCTCCAGATTTTCTTTAGAGTCAATACCCCAGCACCCAAAGTGAACTGTGCACATGATTCAGGGGCTCTTTGTTTCCCTGCAGGGCTGTGGTGGAGGCTGTGCATCGGCTTGACCTCATCCTTTGCAACAAAACTGCTTATCAAGAAGTGTTCAAACCAGAAAACATTAGCCTGAGAAACAAGTAAGCTGGAGACTGAGCCACAGAGTTTTTCTATTTTCTTGCTTATCTCTACTAGAAACTTTAACCTCCTGACCTCATGGGACCATGATGAACTGTGAAGTTTCTGGCCTTCCTAAGAGAGGAAATGGAATCTTCACTCTATCTGTAGCATCTGTGTCTACTAGATCAGTGCCCTCAAGAATGACATTTGAATTCGAGTGGTTGGCTATACTGTGTCTCTTCATACAGTGAAGGGAAAAAAGGAAATAAAAAGAAGAGAATACAGGGAGAAATGAAAATTGTTAAAATTCGTATTACTTCCTGATGTCATCTTTTGGGGACTCTGCTGCCTTCCCAGACTACTGTTCTGAGTCATTGACACTAATGTCTGTTGATGACAGTAATGGCTCATGCCTCCTTGCCCTTGGTTCTTGTGTGTTCTTTATCAAGGGTTGACAGTGTCTCATGTTCCTTTACTCCTTCCCAGGTTGCGTGAGCTCTGTGTCAAGCTTATGTTCCTGCATCCTGTGGACTATGGGAGGAAGGCTGAAGAGCTGCTGTGGAGAAAGGTATACTATGAAGTTATCCAACTTATCAAGACTAACAAAAAGGTAAGGAGTAGTCCTAGGCCTTGGGAAGAAACTTGTCTAAAGAGGGGAAGCTGAGGAAGACAGCTAGGAAAGTATACCCAGAGTGTGCTTGGTAGAGGAGCCAAAGAAAAGACAGCAGAGAGTAGGGAAGGAGTTAGACATAATTGGAATTGGAGAAGGAAGGGAACCAGATAGGGGCCCTACCCAGTGTAGGAGTGACTTGTAAGGGAGGAGAATGTGGTTGAGGTTCTAGAGCCAGAAAGGAAAGCTTATTTCCTCAGGAGGGTGAACGTGTTAGGGCAGGGAGGGAATGGCCCTCTGAACTTCTTAGGCAGCCCCTTAACCTTTTCCATTTCCAGCACATCCACAGCCGGAGCACCTTGGAATGTGCCTACAGAACACACCTAGTTGCTGGTATTGGCTTCTATCAGCATCTCCTTCTCTACATCCAGTCCCACTACCAGCTTGAACTTCAGTGCTGCATTGACTGGACCCACGTCACCGACCCCCTCATAGGTCAGTGATACTCAAAAGGGCTTGAGTGTTAGGTTCTCATGCCCCACTTCTGCCTCACTGTCTTTGGGATTTGAATAGTTTGTGACCCAGCCAGGCGAAAGAATTCTAGCAACACCTTCAAATGCTTCTTGAAACTTAGACTTATCCAAACAAGCATGAGCAAGGAAGGAAAGGCTCAGGATTGTAAACTGATATGGAGGTAAGAAGGACAAAGGACTTAGTGTAGACCTGCCTCTGGAAGATGGTATTAACTTTTCTTTTCTTCTCCTAGTTGAGTTTTACCAGCACTGTTTCTTTTGACGTTAGATTGTTTTCCAGTGTTTAAATATTGGAATTTTTAGAAATATTAGGAAAATTGTGGACAGTATTTCAAGAAGTATAGCCCACTGAGATCTTGGCACCTGTGGCTTTACCTCCTTCTTCGCTGGTAGTTTTCTGTTTAATTCAGCTACCTTTTAGAGGTCGTTCCCCCATCTCCTTGTTCTCTATATCCTCTTCTTTGCCCCAGACCCATGGCCCAGCCCTCACTAAGAGATAGAGTTTCTGGGTCAGGTGTGGAACATAATGTCCTTTCTGTCCTTACCTGGAAGCATTCTTTCATCAGAAGCAGGGCACCTGTGTTTATGCACTTAAAATATTATTTAACAATAAAAGGAGGGGATGGGACTGGAAAGATGGCTCAGCAGTTAAGATCACTGGCTGTTCTTGCAGAAGACCCAGATTCAAATCCCAGCAGCAACATGACAGCTAACAACTGTAACTCCAGTTCCAGGGGAATCCAGTACCTTCTGTCCTCTGAGGGAACTGCACAACGTGGGTGCACTTATATACGTGCGGGAATAACACTCATACACATAAAAAAAAAATTAAAAAAAAAAAAAAGGAAGGGCTTTGGGGCTGGAAAGATGGCTCAGTGGTTAAGAGCACTGACTGCTCTTGCAGAGGACCTGGGTAGGATTTCCAACACCCACATGGCGGCTACGAACTATCCTAAACTCCAGTTCCAGGGGAATTGGAAGCCCTCTTCTGACCTCCACGGCATTGCATGACACGAGTGCACTCATATACATGCAGGCAATACACTCACACACATTAAATAAAAATAATAAAATATATTTTAAAAGGGGGCTAGGTAGCTGGGCTTGGTGGCGCATGCCTTTAATCCCAGCACTTGGGAGGCAGAGGCAGGCACATCGTTGTGAGTTCAAGGCCAGCCTGGTCCACATAGTGAGTTCAGCTCAGCTGGGACTGCAGGGAAACCCTGTCTCAAAAGGACAAAAAAAAAAAGCTGGGGTGGTGGTGGCTGGAGAGATGGCTCAACGGTTAAGAACACTGGTTGTTCTTGCAGAAGACCCAGGTTTGAATCCCAGCACCCACGTGGCAGCTAACAACTGTCCGTAAGTCCCAGGGGATCCGACAGCTTCTTCTGTCCTCTGCGGGCATTGCATGACACAGGTGCACTTACCTACATGCAGGCAATATACTCATACACATAAAATAAAAATAATAAATAAAATATTAAAAAGTAATTAATTTAATGCCTTTAAAAATTAATTAGGGGCTGGAGAGATGGCTCAGCAGTTAAGAGCACTGTCTGTTCTTAGAGAAGACCCGGGTTCGAATCCCAGCACCTACATGGCAGCTAACAACTGTCCATAACTCCTAGCTGGCCTGGAACTCACTATGTAGACTAGATATCTGCCTGCCTCTGCCTCCAGAGTGTTGGAAATAAATGCACGTAAGTGTTCTTAACCTCTGAGCCATCTCTCCAGGCCCCATAAATAAAATATTTTTTAAAAAGAGAAAGAGCCGGGCATGGTAGTGCACACCTGTAGTCCCAGCAGCTGGGAGGCAGAGGCAGGTGGATCTCTGTGAGTTCAAGGCCAGCCTGGTCTACATAGTGAGTTCCAGGACAGCTGGGCCTATATGGAGACCCTGCTTCAAAAAGAAAAAAAGAAAAAGGATGGGCTGGGTAAAATGCTTGCTGCACAAGCATGAAGACCTAAGTTTGGATCCCTAGTACCCTTGCCAGGTATGGTTGTTGCAGTCCTGTAATCTCAGCTCTGGGGAGTTGGAGACAAGAGAATCCCTGGGATTTGGAAGCCAGCCAGTCTAGCTAAATTGGTGAGCTAAGGGTGGAGCCGGTCACTGAGATAGCTCAGTGGATTAAGGCACTTGTCACCAGCCCTGAAGACCTGAATTCGATCCCCAGGACCCACATAATGAGAGGAGAAAATTAATTCCTGCAAGTTGTTACTTTCTTTCACACAAGTGCCATGGCACATATGCACCAACCACATATATGCACAAAATAAATTAATGAAAAAATTTTAAGGAAAGATGGCAAGCAATTAAGGAAAATACCCAGCATCGATCTCTATCTACCACACACACGTGCACCCACACATAGACAAACAGGGAAACAAAAAGGCTAAGGTGTATTGTAGCTCAGTGGTAGAGTGCTTGTCTAGCATGTGTGAAGCCCTGTTTAGTCCCCAATACTGCAATATCAGGATTAGTCTGGAGATGGTTCCGAAGGCTTATGAGACAGAGAAGTCCACAGCATTAGAATTCGCTTCAGAGGGTTAGGTCCCCAAACACTGTCTTTCTCCTCAGTGGTGTTTTCTTCATTGAGCCAAGTGGGAGGTATCCCGAATAACATCAGGAAGGGTTTTTCAGAATGGATGCTCCCCACTCAGAGGAGAGCCTATAAAGTAACAGGGCAGAAGCGACTGACCTCCTGAGCCATTTCCCAGCCCTATGATTTTTTTTTTCCCCTCCCTTGGGAAGTGGGAATAGTAACTATCTCATAGAGTTGCCATAGGGATTAGGTTAAGACTGCAGACACTTAATCAAGTAGCTGGCATATAGAGAAACTACAACCCAGAACTCAGGCTCACTGTACTGAAATGATAAGACCATTCGGGTAGAGGGAGAAGTAAGAACCCAAGCATATTTGGTTTTGGCCATCACCAGTCCTCAGGCAAAGAAAATTCACTACCTCTTTCTTGGCACATTCTTCAGTGGCTGCCTTTTCCTTTGCAGGCCTCTACAAGGCAGAAGCCAGGAGCATTTGCTAAGCCATCTCTTTAACCCCTTAACTCAAACTTTTTATCTTCACATAGGTAGCTTTGATACAGGTCCTCTCCACTTTGCTGACACCGGAACCTCATCTCTTCTTTTCATTTTTAAAAAAATTTTTTTTGAAACAGGGTCTCTGTAGCCCCAGCTGGCCTGGAACTCACAGATCTACCTGCCTCTGCCTTCCAAGTGCTAAGAGTAAAGGTGTGTTCCACCTGGCCATCTCTTCCTCTTTCTATTAGTCTTCCTGTGTTAACCTTTCAAATAACCTTTCAGGTGTTGTTCTGGGTTCTGGGCCTACACCTCCTCTTTACGCCCTTTCTGTCCTGAGTACCTCTGTGTCCCTACCTCTGGAAGACAGAGTTCCAGGGCTGGCCAGTCATCTTTTCCTTCTTGCCTAGGTGGATGCAAAGGAATGGACTCATAAATAGATCTGTCTCTGTTTTAGGATGCAAGAAGCCAGTATCTGCTTCAGGGAAGGAGATGGATTGGGCACAGATGGCATGCCACCGATGTCTGGTGTACCTGGGGGATTTGTGTAAGAATCTTTGCCTTTTATTTCCTCTGTTTGGGGCCATGGGAAAATTCCAGACTGCTTCAGGTATTGGTGCCATCTTTTACATGAGTAGCAAGCTGAAGAAACAGTTTGGTCTCTGATGACTTTTCTCTCCAGTCTGGTAATAGTGTTCCTCTCTTTCACTGACTGTGAATCAGAGAGGACTGATGAATCTAGAGAAATACCTGTGATCTTTCAGGCAATAAGCATGATCACTGTCCTAGTTTGTTTCTTCATTGCTGTGACAAAACACTCTGACCAATACTAACTTGGGGAGGAAAGGGTTTATTGGGCTTACATCTCCTGGGTCACAGTTCATCAGGGAGCCCAAGTTAGGAACTCAGGGCAGGAACCTGGAGGCAGGAGCCATGGAGGAACACAGGAGCACAGGCCATGGAGGAACTCTGCTCACTGGCTTGCTCCCCTGGCCCCTGCTCAGCCTGAATTCTTATGCAACACAGGCCCACCTGCCCAGGGGTGGCACCACCCACAGTGGGCTGGGCCCTCCCACATCACTCAACAATCAAGAAGGTGCCCCATGGACATGGCCACAGGCCAATCCAATGAAGGCAATTCCCCAATTGAGGCTCCCTCAACCCAGGTGTGTCAAGTTAACACTAAAGCTATCCAGCACAATCACTGTTTCAGTAGGTGAGGAAGATTTTAACTTAGTGTCTTTTTCCTTCTTGGTGGCTTTCTGTTACCACTCTGACCTCCTAGGTGAATAGGAGGTTCAGCATCAAAAAGCTCAGTGTTCATTGCAAGTGTTGCTGATACTGGAAAAGTGTTCTTTTGCTTTATGACCCCTAGGTCCCTAGCCTTCATAGACATCCATGCTACATTGGGCTGTTGGTGTGGACCTGCTGGGCACAGTAGCTTTCATTGACCTGAAGCTCTTTCTGGCCTTGTCCCTAATGTACTCCTGGTCTCCTCATGGTCCCTGGTGTGTAGAGAGTCTGCTGGGTTTTTTTGTTTGTTTTTTTTTGATTTTGTCTTTTTGAGACAGGATCTCCCTGTAGCCCCAGCTGCCCTGGAACTCACTACGTAGACCAGGCTGGCCTTGAACTCAGAGAGATCCACCTGCCTCTGCCTCCCGAGTGCTGGGATTAAGGCATGCACCACCACTCCCGATGAGAGTCTGCTGTTTTATATTAGGTGAACCAATGTTTCTTTAGCAATGTCTTCATGTAGAATCAACCAATTGGATTCCAGAACCAAATAAATATCAGAGCTTTCAAGATAAACCTGCTTATTTTACAAATGCTAATTTTTAGCCCTTTGAAGTGACCAGCATGGAAGAGAGTACAACAGTTTGTGTATGTAGTCACACAGATTTAGGACCATGTCAAAGACCCTATAACGTCCCTGCCTCCTAGGCTCATTACAGCTTTTCAGAATGGACTTCTGATGAAAGGGAGGGTTTTCTAAAACTTGGAATCATTGCATTTCCCTTCTTCCTCTCTCTCATGTAGCACGCTATCAGAATGAATTGGCTGGTGTAGACACTGAACTGCTAGCTGAGAGATTTTACTATCAAGCCCTGTCAGTAGCTCCCCAGATTGGTAAGTGCTTGCCTTGGATCTCTTAACCAGAGCATTTCTGAGAGGCAGGCAGTTCTGTTGATACAGTTAGGCCTTGAGTTGATTTCTGCACGTCTCTGTTACTGTTGCTCTGATATTTCACCTTGCATGTACATTCTCTCCCTTGTGACATACCGAAAATAAATGGAAGAGAAGTGGGTAAGTCTTAACTGAGAAGGAGGGGAGAAGATGACTCCCTTTTCTGTCAGGTAGAAAGAGGAGCTTATACATGAGTTTACCCCACAGGAGGTGCAGTAAGAGAAGGGATAAGATCTGTTTATGGGCTGGAGGTGTAACTCAATTGGTAGAGCGCTTGTCGAGCATGCATAATGCCCTATATTTGATCTGCAGCATTGTATAAGCCAGATCTGGTGGTGCACATCTATGATCCTAGCATTTGGGAGATAGAGACAGAAGGAGCAGGAGTCAAAAGTCACCCTCAGCAATATACTAAGTTTAAGGCCAGCCCTGGTTACATGCGATCCTGTATTTTAAAAAGAAGATGTCATAGCCATGCCTTTAATCCCAGCACTCGGGAGGCAGAGACAGGTGGATCTTTGTGAGTTTGAGGCCAGCCTGGTCTACATAGTGAGTTCCAGGACAGCTGGGGCTACAGGGAGACCCTGTCTCAAAAAAGACCAAAAAAAAAGACATCATATAGACAAATGGGTTCCACATGTAGCATGTAAGGAACTAAGAAGTAAAGAACTGAGCTAGAAGAAAGAAGAGGGTTCCATTAAAGAGCTACAGGGTAACTGAGGGGTGTGTAAAGGTAAACCCTGGCAAATCAGGCAGGAATGGGATGATAAGAAGTAAGAAGAGGTTAGTAATTCCCTGGTGAACAAGACTGGTATGCTAGTCAACTGAGAGTCCACTCTGCTGTAGACCCAACTGTTTTTTCTCTGATGGTTGGCACTGGTTGGCCTGTAGACTTAGACTACATGCATTATCTTTCACTCCAGGAATGCCCTTCAACCAGCTGGGCACCCTTGCAGGCAGCAAATACTACAACGTGGAAGCCATGTATTGCTACCTGCGCTGGTAAGTGTTTGCCAGCTCTTTCCTGAGCCCTGCAGTCCTGCTCTCATATCCATGCTGTCTCTGCTTTCCTATTCCTCCCAGCCCTGCTGTCTTTTCCTTCTTTAGCTTCTGGCTGAGATAGGGGCGTGCTAGACTGAAGGTCTTTTTTTCAACTCTAGGGTTACCCTGACATAGCCCTGCTGCTTTAACAGAATGACATGGATTTGTAGGTATTTGAGCAGCTAAAGTAACTATATACTTATGGTCAATGTAAGATTGCTCTCTTTTTGCTGTTCATTTATTTGTTTTAGAGATTTGTTTATTTTTAATATTTATTTTTTTGTGTGTGAGTATTGCCTGCATGTATATAAGTGCACCCATGTCATGCAATACCTGCGGAGATCAGAAGAAGGCATCAAATTTCCCTGGAACTGGAGTTACAGACAGTTGTTAGTTGCCATGTGGGTGCTGGGATTCAAATCTGGGACCTCTGCAAGAGAAGCAAGTGCTGTTAACCACTGAGCCATCTCTCCAGACCCTACAGATTTAACTTCTTTTTTTTTTTTTTTTGTCTTTTTGAGGCAGGGTCTCTCTGTAGCCCCAGCTGTCCTGGAACTCACTATGTAGACCAGGCTGGCCTCAGACTCACAAAGATCCACCTGCCTCTGCCTCCCAAGTGCTGGGATTAAAGGTGTGCGCCACCACACCCAGTTTTATTTAACTTTTAAAAAGTTGTTTTAGTCAGGTATGGTAGCACACACTTTAATCCCAGCACTCTGGAGGCAGATGCAGGTGGATCTTTGTGAGTTTGAGGCTAGCCTGGTTTACATAGTAAGCTCCAGGCCAGGTGGGGCTACCGGAAAACTCTGTCTCAAAAAGACCCCCAAAAAAGTTGTTTTATTTTGGGGTGCTGGAGAGATGGTCTGCAGTTAAGAGCACTGACTGCTCTTGCAGTGGACCCAGGTTTGATTCCCAGCACTAACACAGAGGCTAACAACCATCTGTAACTCCAGTTCCAGGGGATCTGACACCCTCTTCTGATCGCCATGGACATTGCACAACACGGGTATACTTAACATACGGGCAATATACACATACACATAAAATAAAATTTAAAAACCTAGGTGTATACAGTTTAAACCAGGATGTTAGGGGGCAAGTCTGTTACTCTAGTTATAATGAAAAAGAATGTACTTAAAGCCCCTCTTCATTTATATAATAGCTATTTTTGGATTCTACTTCAAGCATGGTGACGCACGCCTTTAATCCCAGCACTTGGGAGGCAGAGACAGGCGGATCTCTGTGAGTTCAAGGCCAGCCTGGTCTACATAGTGAGTTCCAGGACAGCTGGGGCTACAGGGAGACAAAAAAAGACCAATGATTAAATAAATAAATGAATGAATGAATCAATGAATAAATGACAAAATCATTCTCAGGAGAGGTTAGAAAATGAGTTGGGCTTTCAAGCAAAGGGAGTAGGTACAGTGGTCTTACAGAGCTTAGGTGGCTAAAGTGCTAAAGTCTTCAAAGAGTTAAAGTGACCAGACATTAAAGTATAAAGTGTCAAATTTATTCAGCCTTATAATTCCATGTGCTGTGATCCTTGGCTCACTCCATTACACCCGTTTTAGGGTTAGCATTTGGAATTCAGCTGATCTAGAGGTCTGAGAAATCATGAAGGTGGGGGGGGCTGGAAAGATGGCTCAGAGGTTAAGAACACTGGCTGTTCTTGCAAAAGACCCAGGTTTGAATCCCAGCACCCACATGGCAGCTAACAACTGTCCGTAACTCCAGTTCTAGGGGATCCAACAGCCTCTTCTATCCTCTGTGGGCATTGCAGGACACGGGTGCGCTTACCTGCATGCAGGCATACAACATACACATAAAATAAAAAATAAAAATTAATAAAATACTTTTTAAAAAAAATCATGAAGGTCAGATGTTTGGCTTTTAAGATTTTTTAAAAGTGTGTGTGTGTGTGTGTATCTTTGTGTGGGTATGTGCACAAGAGTGCAAGTGCTTGTAGAGGCCAGAGGCTCCTTTGGAGCTGGAGTTACAGATGGTTGTGAGTTGCCTCATGTGGGTTCTGGATATTGAACTCAGGTCCTCTAGATGAACAGTAGAACTGCTGAGCCATCTCTCTAGCCTCTCTAAACTTTTTGCTAGCCATATAAGCATGAGGACCTTAGTTCTAGTCCCAGACTCCATGTGAAAAAGCAGGACATGGTGGCACTAGCACTGAGGAAGCAGAGATAGGATGATCCCTGGAACTTGCTGGCAAGCCAGCCCAGCCTACCAGGCTTTAGATAGATGAGACTCCCTCCAAAAACAAGATGAATGGCTCCTTAAGGAGCCACTCCCAAGGCATACAGACACACACGGACATATGGGTCATATCATATAGTACCAAAGTTTTTTGGGGATTTTTTGTTTTTTTTAACTTTTATTTTATGTATATGAGTGTTTTGCCTACATGGATGTAAGTGCACCTATGTCATGCAGTTCTTGTAGATGCCAGAAGGGGAATCATATCCTTGGAACTAGTTTTGGACAGTTAGCTGCCATATGGGTGCTGGGAACTGAACCCAGATCCTTTGCAAGAGAAGTCAGTGCTGAGCCATCTTTCCAGCCCCTTTTTGTTTTGTTTTTGTTTTAATGTGTATGCATGTATTACCTACATGTATACAAGTGCACTTGTGCCATGCAATGCCTGTGGAGGTGGGTCAGAAGAGGGCATCAGATTCCCCTGGAACTGGAGTTATGGATGGTTGTTAGCCACCATGTGGGTGCTAGGAATTGAACCTGGGTCATCCTGTAAGAGCAGCCAGTGTTCTTAACCACTGAACCAGCTCTCTAGCCCTCAGAGTTGTTGTTTTAAAATGAGATTGGTTTACATCAGAGATTCAGCTTGACCATGTGTTAGCCATATGACCTTGGGCAGTTTCTTCTTTTTGGTGTTCTTTATTGTTTGTTTTTTGAGACAGGGCCTCTTTGTAGCCCCAGCCGGCCTGGAGCTCACTCTGTAGAGCTGGCTTCCATTTTACAGAGATCCACCTGCCTCTGTCTCCCAGGTGCTGGAATTAAAGTTATGCACCATCATACCTGGCCCCAGGCAGTTTGTTCATACAGACTCTTTTTCTCATCTCTGTATGTAGACAGTATTAGGGTACACAGTGTGCCTGACAATAGGGGTTGCTTGATACTTTTTTGAGTGTTGAAGAATTAACAAATAATGTAGGTAAATATACTTGGTTGTAAGTATTTACACAGTGCTAGGTACTACACGTTACTGTCTTCTTTATACATAGAGGAAAGTAAGGAAGACATCATGTGTACTTGGTGAATCTGTGTGTGTGTGGGTGTGTGGGTGTGTGTTTTATATCAGGAAAAATAGCTCCAGTCTTTTGCCCTGAAGCTCCAGTCTTCTGCCCTGAGTATGTCAAAGAAGTTAAGACTGAAACATCCTCTATTTACTAGTAACAGTTCCCTAAGGGCACAGCAGGTGACCTTTCCCCTTTCCTCCTGTTCCCTTGCCCAGACACAGTACCTTACCGATGTTTGTCCTTCAGCATCCAGTCGGAGGTGTCCTTTGAGGGAGCCTATGGGAACCTCAAGCGGCTATATGACAAGGCAGCCAAAATGTACCACCAGCTGAAGAAGTGTGAGACTCGAAAACTCTCCCCTAGCAAAAAGCGGTAAGTGGGGCCTATCGGGAGGAGGGATTTTTCCACAGTGGCTGCAGTGTGGGACCGCAGGGACTCTGAAGCTACTCTCATTTGAGGGTTTCTCTCATTTCAGATGTAAAGACATTAAGAGGTTGCTGGTGAACTTTATGTACCTGCAGAGTCTGCTGCAGCCCAAAAGTAGGTGAGTAGAAGAGACCATGAGTAGGAATGGTATCAGGTTTGTCCAGGCTTGACTGCTTCTTTGCATGGGTCGAGGAAGGAACGTGTGCTGAATTCTGCTCTCTGGGAAAGGCTCACCAGTCAGTCTATCCTTGGCATATCTCACTATTGTGTCCACGAGGTCTGTTTAACAAAGTGAATGCTTACTAGATGCTGAAGAAGTGACTGAATGGGAAACCCCCCATATCTTTTCCCATGTTGGCCTTTTCTGTTTCATGTGTGGGTTTGTTTAATGAGTTTTTTTCAGTACTATAAATTGAACCAGGGCCCTGCTCATGCTAGACAATGCTCTACCATTCAGCTGCACCCCCATTTTGACCTCTTTTGAGATCAGTCCATCTCTGCCCCTCCTTCTGCAATCTCTACTATAGGATCCCTTAGTTTTTCCTCTGATTTTTTAATTTTTAATGTGCTAGGGGTTAAACACAGGGCCTTACACATGCTAGGCATACATTTCACCATTGAGCTATAGTCTGGTCTCTGAATTTTGTTTATTCGTTTATTTTTTTAATATTTTTCTTTTATGTGTATAAATGTATTGCCTGCATGTATGTAAGTGCACCCATGTTATGCAATGACCATTGAATCCCCTGGAATTGGAGTTACAGATGGTTGTTAGCCACCATTTGGGTGCTGGGAATTGAACTGGGGTCCTCTGTAAGAACATTTAGTACTCTTAACCTCTGAGCCATCTCTCTAGCCTCTGTTTTTGATTTTTTTTTTTTTTTGGTCTTTTTGAGACAGGGTCTCCCTATAGCCCTAGCTGTCCTGGAACTCACTATGTAGACCAGGCTGGCCTTGAACTCAAAGAGATCTGCTTGCCTCTGCCTCCTGAGTGCTGGGATTAAAGGAGTGCTCCACCACGCCCGGCTTAGTCTCTGATTTTGTAGTGCCTGTTCTCACTGACTTCTCTTGTTCTCCTGCCTTTCCATAGTTCCATGGACTCAGAATTGACCTTGCTTTGCCAGTCAGTCCTAGAAGATTTCAACCTTTGCCTCTTTTATCTGCCCTCCTCACCCAGCCTTGGCCTGGCCAGCGAAGATGAGGAGGAGTATGAGAGTGGATATGCTTTCTTGCCTGACCTTCTCATCTTTCAGATGGCTATCATCTGCCTTATGGGTGTGCATAGTTTGAAGAGAGCAGGTAATCCTTACCATGTCCCTTTCTTTCCTCTTTCCCCGTCTTGCTTTGCAACTCCTTACCCACAGATTTCCCTTCACATGTAACCCCTTCCTTGCCTGTGTCCCTGCCTGACTGTGAAGAGTAAGAGCCAAGAAAGCTTTCTGATAGGACCTCCTGTGAAGAAGCAAAGGCAGCTGTGGGATTCCACCCCTCCCCCACACCTCCTCAAGGACAGGGACACACTGGCCAGCAGGATCCAGGCCTTGCTATTAGGATGTTCTGAAAACCTTTCTGGCAGAGGTGATAGGAGGGGCAGTGCTATATGTCAAGGTTCTTGGGTAACCAGGAACAGCCTCAAAGTCAGAGAGGATGAGCTCAGACAAGAGGATACACCTATATGAAAAAGTGTAGGATGAGCTATGGGAGGGGAGATAATAGTCCAGAGATGAGAAATCTTATTTTGCTGTAGAAGCAGCTTTGAGGGATAGTTGGGTGAGATGGGTTGGTTTATGGTATTCACTCCTGCTCTCCTGGCTTCAGGATCCAAGCAGTACAGTGCAGCGATTGCTTTCACCCTGGCCCTCTTCTCCCATCTTATCAATCATGTCAACATAAGGCTGCAGGCTGAGCTGGAAGAAGGCGAGAACCCTGTCCCAGCATTCCAGAGCGATGGCACAGGTGTGAGGATGGGGAAGGTTGTAACTGCAGAGTTTGGCTTGGGACATGGGGAGTGTTGACTTAGTGGGAGGCAGTTTACAGGCCCCAGTTTTTTTCACCAGGCTCCACCTGACCTTCCTCTTTACACAGATGAACCAGAGACTAAAGACCCACTGGAGAAAGAGGAAGAACTAGAGCCTGAACCTCCCTCTGTGGTGCCCCAAGCTGATGAGAGCAGAAAGAGTCGTAAGTACTCTCGCCTATCTTGTCTCCGTCGCCGCCGCCACCATCTGCCCAAAGCTGGTGATGACAGTGATCTGAGTGAAGGCTTTGAATCAGACTCAAGCCATGACTCCACCCGAGCCAGTGAAGGCTCAGACAGTGGCTCTGACAAGAGTCTAGAAGGTGGGGGCACAGCCTTTGATGCAGAGACAGACTCAGAAATGAACAGCCAGGAATCCCGATCAGACCTAGAAGACATGGAAGATGAAGAGGAAACACGGTCTCCAGTCCCAGAGCCCCCTCGGGCTAGATCAGAGGCTCCTGATTCCCTCAATGGCCCTCTGGGCCCCAGTGAGGCTAGCATTGCCAGCAATCTTCAAGCCATGTCCACTCAGATGTTCCAGACCAAGCGCTGCTTCCGACTGGCCCCCACTTTTAGCAACCTGCTCCTTCAGCCCACTACCGAACCTCACACCTTGGCCAGTCACAAACTCTGTGTTAATGGGGATGTGGAGAAGCCTTTGGAACCAGGTATGTGGGTCTCCTATCTTCTTCTGTGGTGCTCACCTCTATGTTCTGGTCATGAGTGGCCACCTTCCTCTGAGTGACCACTCACCACTGCCTTAGCTGCCTTACCGCCTCACCTTTGATGCTATTGTAGCTCAGGAGTCTTCCTGAGTCCTTTGTCCTGTTCACTCCTTCATTTCCAAGTTCCGACACATTTCCCAGTCTTACTGCCTTCCCACTGCACACTACCCTCTGGGGCTCTGCTCTCCACATGTTGCTGTCTGGGACTTAATTGAGCCCAGGTGAGATGTGCTTTCTTGTGGGTTTCCTGAGCCATCTCCACTGTACCACTGCAGCCTCTAACCCTCCTCCATCTGGTGAGGTGAGCTACTTACTTAGCTATCCCAAGACTAAACTGAGTTTCAGGAGAGCCAGATAATACATATCTTCTTGTCTGTTTGTGTCTCTAATACCTAGCAATGCATGGCATGGGGGTAGGACTTTGAGATTTAAGAAATTTTGAGTGATTGTCAGCAAACTTAAGCTCTTTCCCTCAGAGGTGAAGTGACCTGCCCAGGATTCTGATTCAAAGTAGAAAAGCTGGGAGCTGAAAGTAATTGCTTTCCACTCTGTGCCCCTTGCATTCTTCCTGCCTTCTAGCACAGAGTAGGCGCTTCATAGTCATAGGTGTGGTGGATCATGAATAAACCAGCCTCATACATTCATCTCAGTTGCGACAGTCATTAAAAGGCACCAGGTTCTGAATTTAAAAGTTAAGTGGACCTGGAAGAAATATACAGGAGACTGACAGCAAGTTATGTTGGGTGGGATGGGTACGTTTGGTGAACTCCCCACCAAAGTGCTGGGGCCTGTAGCCAAGTGCTGTTTGTAACTTACCTTGTTACTCTCTTTGCTCCACTCCAGCCTCTGAAGAAGGCTCTGAATCAGAGGGTAGTGAGTCCAGCAGCCGCTCCTGTCGAAATGAGCGCAGCCTTCAGGAGAAACTGCAGGTCCTGGTGGCTGAGGGCCTGCTTCCTGCTGTGAAGGTCTTCCTGGACTGGCTTCGAACCAACCCAGACCTCATCATCGTGTGTGCTCAGGTGTTTACCCCATATTCCCTGTATTCATCAGGCCCCACAGGGTTAGAAGGGTGATAAGACCATCCCATGGTCTGCTAGAACCTGTCTGGCCTGGCAAGAGTAGGCATTACCCTTCCCTCCAAGAGTTTGTGGCCAGAGAAGATGGCAACTTGGAGTATGATTTGGGGTGTTCTAGGCATCAGCAGTGGCTCAGGAGAGTCAAACAGCAGCAACCAGTGTTATCAGGCTTTCTGGCATTAGGTGGGGTCGTACCTGTTCCCCTTTCTCAGAATCAGAGCCTCAGTCCTGAGCTTCTCTCTTTCTTGGAGGCTTGTGTTCAGTGTTGTTTTCTTGCAGGAAGGAGGCCTGCTCTGCAGTAAGAGACCTGCTTCTATGAGTTCTGTTAGACATGGAGACAGCAACTCTGGCTCTCACGTTTCCCACCTTCACAGTCCAAGATCCTCTCCTGGGGCTTTACTGCCTTCTTTGACAAGGTCCCCCTTCTTATCCTCACAGGACCAGTCCCCTATTTTCCAAGTCCTCCATGAATTCTTGGCCTCTTGTTAATTTGTTAGTCAAGTCCTAGGCCTCAGAACACAGCTCCAGGGCCCCCACCAAGATGTGCTTGTCCTGCTTGCTGCAGTTCTCTAGTCTCTAGCTGGAGGACTCCTTGTTTTTCCCCAGAGTTCTCAGAGTTTGTGGAACCGTCTGTCTGTGTTGCTGAATCTGTTGCCAGCTGCTGGTGAACTCCAAGATTCTGGTGAGTGGGGTCCTAGCACTGTTCTCTTTCCCTTTTTATTGGCCTCACCAAACCTGTTTGGTTCCTTTCCCATAACTTGGCTTTTGGGATAAATGGTTGAATCTGGCAGCCGTGGAGCCTTCCTTGCACACGGCTGTCATTGTGTGGGCCAGGCCTTAACAGTTTCCATATCAACACTGCCCCTACTAAGGGCAAGTGGTCTGTATGAGGGGTATACTCCTGGGGAAGGAATGGAGTGGGCAAGAGCAGAGAGGAGTCTAGGAACCAGGCCTATTGCTGTCATCGCCCTGCTCTATACAGGCACTGAGGATTGATCACCAGAGCTCACTTGTATCTCCTACCATCCTCCAACTACAAAACTCTAGCTATTCTTCCTCCTGAGGCTGACTGGGAGCTTGCCATTCCTCTGGAGCCCCTCTTTCATTTCTGTCAAGGAGCCTTCTTGGGCTGACTGACCTTCACCTGCCTGCTTTGCTCCTCTGGCCTTCCAGCTCTGGTGTCTAGAGCTCTGCCTGCTTGGCTCTGTGTGTCTGTGTCTCTTCTTTTACCTTAGTCCATTTCTCCTCACCATCTGTCCTAGGGCTATGATCTGTCTCATTGACCTGGTAATTCCCCTCAAGAGGGTTGTAGCCCCTGGGTGGGTATTCTGACATTTTCCTTCTGCCCAGGCCTGGCCTTATGTCCTGAGGTTCAGAGTCTCCTTGAAGGCTGTGAGCTGCCTGACCTCCCTGTTAGCCTGCTACTCCCAGAGGACATGGCACTGCGCAACCTGCCTCCTCTCCGGGCTGCTCATAGACACTTTAACTTCGACTCAGATCGGCCACTGCTCAGCGCTTTAGAGGAGGTAAGGGACTTGTTTTTCATGCTTCAAGAACCAGTCTTGGGGGGCTGGAGAGATGGCTCAGTGGTTAAGAACACTGGTTGTTCTGCAGAAGATCTGGGTTCGAATCCTAGCACCCACATGGCAGCTAACAACTGTCCGTCACTCCAGTCCCAGTGGATCCAACAGCCTCTTCTGACCTTTGCAGGCATTGCATGACACAGGTGCACTTATGTATATGCAGGCAATACACACATAGACAAGGCGTACAGACTTGCCTTGGTAGGCATCCTTTCCAAGGTAGTGTCTCCTTTGCCTTTCTCCAGGACAAAGAAAGTTAAGATTTGAAATCTTAAGGTTTTCTGGGTCAGCCTAGAGGTGAACATCAAATAATCTGGCTGGTAGAGCCAGGAAGGACATACTGTCCACTTTGGCGAGCAGTTTTCACCCTTGCATCTTTTACCACATGGACCATCTTGAGGACAGCAGTGGGAAGCCAAGCAGATAGGCTATCCTGTTTCCTCTGCCTTTTCCCTGGGTGCCTCCTCTCCAGCCATAGAAGCTTGACTGTAACTGGTTTTATATTTTAGGGTTCTAGGTAAAATGTTTGTCTGAGGGAGAAAAAGAAGGCTTTTACCAAAAATTTGAGAAATGATGATCCTAGCAGTATTCCTCCATCTGGGAGCCTGAGGGGAGTGGGTATTGGAACCCAAGTCTCACTCCTGGCCCAGTGCCCTTTGGTTTTTTTGTCTCCTCCTTTTTGCAGTACTGGGCCCATGGCCCCACATATGCTAGATAAGCATTGTACCATTGATGTACACCCTCAGCCCTGCTCTTGGGTCTTTGTCTTTAGCCCAACACCTGGTCCTTTGATCCTCCTAGGAATCTGCCTAGCTGTTACTCCTTTTCTAGCAGTTAGTGGCGCTGAATCTCAGTGCACTTTCTCGCCCTTCAGACCCCATGCCTTTCTAAGAAGACTTTGCTGTTGATGAGGTGTCTGGGCCAGCAGGGAGGCAGGAAGGTGAGGTGGGGCTGGGGAAGGGGCGTCCAAGAGATCCCTACTTAGATGGGCTGGACTCCCATTTTCTCTGCAGTCGGTGGTGCGCATCTGCTATATCCGCAGCTTTGGGCACTTTGTTGCCCGCCTACAAGGCAGCATCCTGCAGTTCAACCCAGAGGTCGGCATCTTCATCAGCATTGCTCAGTCTGAGCAGGAGAGCCTGCTACAGCAGGCTCAGGCCCAGTTCCGCATGGTGAGTCTGGCCTTCCCCTCCCCTGACAGCTCTGCTCCCGTCGGCTTCTTGAGGAATAGGGTAAGGGGCAAGATCTAAGTTATGGGGCTGCTAGGTAAAGAATGAGAGATACTTTGAGCAGAGGCAATGTGGCTCAAGACCCTCACTCAGACTAACTTGGGTTTGAATCCATCTCTATCACCAGAGTCTGTATAATCTGAAATGGACAAGTTACTGAGCCTTGCTGAGCCCTGGCATTGTTGCCCTCCCTGAGCTGAGTAGCACTAGTACATTTGGAGTGTTGGCGTCCTACACAGGAAGTATGGCCCAAACTGTCAGCCAGCCTCTGGGTTTCTTCATCCCAAACCAGTCTCTGCCTTGATGCTCTTCTCTCCCAGCCCTGGGCCAGCAGCTTCCTGACCTTCTGAGCCCTCTTGCTATGAATATTTTACCAGGCTGGGAAGGGGAGCATGCTCCCCAGAAACTTCCTTCCTTGCTACCTTACAAACAAGCACATTCTGAACTGGGCGTGGTGGCACACGCCTATAGTCTTAGTGGGAGGCAGAGGCAGACAGATCTCTGTGAGTTCAAGGCCCGCGTCGTCTATATAGTGAGTTCCAGGCCAGCTGGGGCTACAGGGAGACCCTGTTTCAAAAAGACCAACCAACAAGCACATTTTGTTAAAACAAACCTTTGTTAAGGCTTTTATTGCTGTTCCATACTGGAAGACAGGACTTCATGTGAACCACTCCTGTGTCAGACCGCAGGCATGCCGTGATCTCCTAGTCTCTAAGGAGGGGCACATCCCACCTTTTCACCAATGTGGTTTCCTTATAGGCAGAGGAGGAGGCTCGGCGGAACAGGCTCATGAGAGACATGGCTCAGCTACGACTACAGGTGGGCAGTCAGCAAGTCCTCTTGCTCTTAGTCTAGCTTACACCCCATTTTCAGATCCTCCCTGCTCTGCCTCTGGGCCCCTCTTCCAGGATCACTTTCCTCCAGGCTGGTCTCCCTATTGCTCAGCCTTTTTTCTGCTTTCCTTTTCTCTTATCCCACTTGACCCCCAGGGTCATTGGTAGAAAGCCCCCTTCGTGTTCCCTGTGAGCAACCACCTTGGCTATGGCTGCCTGGTTTCTCTTACTGTCTCTTCCACCCAGGCTGCAGGGCTCCCTGCAGCTCCAGCCACTCAGCTTCTCTTGCCAGCTCGAGGTCTCCCAGATGGAGGGCAGCCTGCAACAGCCCAAGGCCCAGTCAGCTATGTCTCCCTACCTCATCCCTGACACCCAGGCCCTCTGCCACCACCTCCCTCTCATCCGCCAGCTGGCCACCAGTGGCCGCTTCATCATCATCATCCCAAGGACAGGTGAGCACATCAGGGAGTCCGTGGGACAGGTGGAGTATAGCCTGGGATCCAGAAACCCTCATTTGAGGCACAAGAGTGTATGTGATCTTCGTCAAGTCCTACCTGTGAACAGCATAGGAATCTGTGCTCAACCTATTGTTGCACAAGATAGAGGGAGAAGTGGATGGGAAGGTCTTAAATAAAAGTGCTTGGTGAATTGTCAAGTACATTGAGCAGAAGGTCATGTTTTCAAAGAACTTCTAGAGCCTTATAGGGTGTTGGTCCTGTCTCCTGCACCGATGGGTACTTGCTGCAGAGTGGTCTGCAGTCAGAGCTCATTGTTCTGTCTTTCCCTAACCTCACTCTACCTCCAGTGATTGACGGCCTGGATTTACTGAAGAAGGAAGAACCAGGGGCCCGAGATGGGATCCGCTACCTGGAAGCAGAGTTTAAAAAAGGAAATAGGTGAGTTTGGGCCTGGCTGGACCTGTGTGCAGCCTGGGCCCATCATCTAGACATGCCTATAAGCTGCTTGCTCTGCCACTCTTCAGCCCCTACTCACAGCTTGTATGCTACACTAGAGTCATAGAGACAGCTGGAGGTCCTAGCTGCTGAAATAGAGGATTATTGTAAGAGCCACGAGTCCTGAGGTAGCACTGAGCTGCTGGCCTTTTGTGTCTGAAGCGGACTGGATAACAACCACTGGGAGAAAGGAACAGCTTTGGCCCCAGCTCCAGGGTGGAACTGCTTGGAAGGAGCTCTCCTGGTTTAGGTTAGGACTGGGGTTCAGGCTTCCTGCTTCCCCACCGAGGAGGCTATGGAAGCCACTAAGGGAGGAACAGCCAATTCAGTGCAGTCCTGGCTCCTTTTCTGGCCTTTGGGGCTAGGGGAGCAGGAGAGAGGGGGAGTGCTCCCCCTGCCTGCCTCTGGCCTGCCTGACCAGAAAGCTGCACAAGGCTTGCTTGTTCAGACCTTGTATCCAGAAGCCCTGCTGCCACCCTCCTGCTTGTCTCATGAGAGGAACTAGAGAAGGGATGTTATCAGTAGTACAAAGCAACCTGGGCTTAGCTGCCAGGAAGCCACTTTAAAATGGTTTCCAACAGCCTGATGGAAAGAACTTGGGTTCCCCCCTCCCTCCACTGGTCCCCAGAGCCATAATGGCCTGCTTTGTATAAGGTGATCTCCTGTCCCCTGCCCCACCATTCTGGTGTCCTTTGCAGATACATTCGCTGCCAGAAAGAGGTGGGAAGGAGCTTTGAGCGGCATAAGCTGAAGAGGCAGGATGCAGATGCCTGGTAAAGTGTCAGCCCCTCCATGAACTCCCCCCACCCCTGTTGAGGCTTCTTGCAGATCCCAGAGCCCAGAGATGCCTGGGCTCAGCGCTCTGACTTGGTCATTTCTTTGCCTACTTCCCCTAGCACATCCTTCAGGGTCAAGCTTTAGGACTCTTGTCTCCAGTACTCTCCCAGTTCCTAGTTTTTCCTGTTGCCTGACAGTTCTCAAGTTGAGGTTTTGCTAATGCTGGGTCTTGTCCCCTTTATCCACTTACCCATAGGGCTCTCTATAAGATCCTGGACAGCTGTAGACAGCTGACTCTGGCCCAGGGGGCAGGGGAAGAGGACCCCAGTGGCATGGTGACCATCATCACAGGCCTTCCATTGGACAACCCCAGTGCGCTCTCTGGGCCCATGCAGGTGGGTTACTGGTGAGGTGGGGCCAGGGTGGACCGTAAAGAGCTGTTGGAGAAGAGTCATTTTCAGACTCTCCAGACTAGCTGTCCTTTCCCACCACTACCCTTTCCCTAGCACCACTGTTTCAAGTTAGGCCCTTAAGGCCCTGTCTTTCCCCCCTACCTCCTTCCACAGGCTGCCCTCCAAGCTGCTGTCCATGCCAGTGTGGACATCAGGAATGTTCTGGACTTCTACAAGCAGTGGAAGGAGATTGGTTGAGACTGACCTCCAGGCCCTGCAGTGGGGCTGACTCCAGATCTCTCCTGCCCTCCCTGGCGACCAGGATCATCACCTGTAGTCACCCCACCACATGCAGACTCATGCACGCACACAGGAAGGAAGGCCAGCTGCACAGAGGCAGCAGGGAAGCCTCAGAGCCAGCCAGGAGGATGGGGGCCCCTTGTTGCCAAGACGAAATCAGAAAAGTGAGGGAAGTACTTGGAGCAGGAAAGGTCTCTGGGCCCCTAGCCAGCCATCCATCTTGACTCTCCTGCTATCCCCAGGAGTAGTGGCAGGCATGGGGGCCTGCATTTCATTGGAGCAGTTCCTGGACCTCTGATGGGAAGGGATATCAGAAGAGATGCTGTCCTCACCCAGGATACAGGGTGGGTGGGGCTGGGAGTTTGGGCCTTCTGGGCTCTGGGGAAAAGTTGGGTGATACTGCGTGTCTACGTGGTTCTCTGCAGACTCCTCCTGCCCTCAAGGACCTCTTAGGGCAGCTGTGGAGGCTCTTAGGGAAGCAGGGCCTGGAGTGGCCTACACAGCAGGGGCTGCATACCCCAATGCCCCACTTCGGCTTCTGCTGCTGTCCAGCTTCCAGGCACACCAAGGGCAGGGTGGGCTGTATGGTGGTGCAGGTTCCTTCCCCACCAGTCCCACAGTAGTTGTGCTTTGTGCTCTTGGCTACTGTGTTGGGACAGGGGGTGCCAGTAAGGAAGTGAGAGAACACAGGCTGAGGCCACCCCTCTCACCGTCCAGGGAGGGCTGGTGGCAGTGCAACAGGGGTAAGGTCCCTCTGTCCTGGACTGTACTCTCTTTGCCCATCACCAAGTCTAGAGGCCTGGTGGGCTGAGTGAGCATGGGCTGGCTTTTGGTGTGTCAAGACACAGGAGCAGAGATCATGAATAGCTCAGGGCAGAATGGGGCCCTGAGAGCAGGACTGTGGGGGAAGCTCTGGCCAGGGTTGCCTCAGCCGCACCCCTCAAGCTGGAAGCAAGAGCTGGGCTGGGGCAGGTTTCTTTTCTGCTAACCCCCTCCTAACCTCAGTTTGGCTGCGCTGAGAGGAGCTGGCTCCTTGCCTTCCTCCAAGATGGAGGGTCTGGGAACATGGGGTCATCCCACCTCCAGTTCCTGGTAGAGAACAAGAGTCAAGCATTACTTAATAAAGACCCCCAAGCCCTCCCTGTCTACTGTGCCTTCTGTACAGAACCCTCACCAGGGGTGGAACTGATTACATACATCTCCAAAAGGCCACCTTGAAGGAGCTGCAACTGAAAGGAAAACATGCTGGGGTTCTTTTTTCTTTTTGGTCTTTTTGAGACAGGGTCTCCCTGTAGCCCCAGCTGGCCTGCTAGCCTGGAACTCACTATATAGACGAGGCTTGGCCTTGAACTCAGAGATCTGCCTGTCTGCTGGCACTAAAGGCTTGTGCCACCATGCCTGCCTGCATGCTGGTTTTATCTGGGGAGATGCAAGGGGTTGGACCCAGGGCTTGGTAGGTGCTCTGCCCCTGATCTCTAAGATCACTAGCCTTGTGCTTTTGTTTTAAGACAGTCCCATGAAGCTCAGGTTTGCTTCCCAGTTGTGTGGCTGGCCAACCTGGGCTTGAACTTCAGGCCTCCACCTCTCAAGGGCTGGATTACTGGGAAGCAACACCATGCCTGGTTTATAAAACTGAACCACTACTGACAGATTGTTTTGCAGTCCCCAGCTGTAGAATGTCTTCCAGGAGGAGTAGGGAAGAGACTTGAAGCCAGTTTGAATCCACCTGCCCTCCTTGGTAGGCAACACAAATTGTGTCAGGGAAAATGAGCTTGGCACGTCCTGGGTGGACCAACATTTACCGAAGACATTTTGAACCTGAGTACTGAGAGGTGGCAAAACGGGGTTGGAGATAGTTTCTGAAATGCAGCTGGGATTTGGAACCTCCTGCCTGACCTGGTTCCTAGGGATTTGGACCAAGGAGTTTAGGTTATACCCTGGTGGCAGCACCCCAACAGGTCCCATGCCTTTCTAGCCAGTCAGATGCAGGTGCTGGAGGGTTGGCTGTGTGCAGGAGGCAAAGTGAGCTGCCTGCTAATGGGCCTGGGCCACCCTGCAGTTTTCCATGGAGGCCAGACAAGACTAGGATTGTTCCCTGGCTCCCCTTTGTCTCCCCACTCTGAAGCCTGGCCCACATCCCCAGTCAACTTGTCATTGTCAACCTGACTAGCAGTAACCAAGACTGCCTTTGGACCCACCTGCTTGGGAGACCTCAGGGTTAAGTAGCTCACATCTGGGACTCTTGATACCGGGGGTAATCAGTAAAGCACTGGCCTGCCATTCCGATTCGCGGAGTGCGGACAACCGCATACAGCTCACTGCACCACAGCTTCCCAGACCCTGTGAGGGCAGATGGACCCCAGCCCAACTCCGAGGGAACTGGGTCGCAGTCCGAACAGGCCCAACTCCCCAAACCTCGCCTGCACGGAGCAAGGAAAACCGTGGGAGGTGAGGTTCTCCTTTACATGGGCTCCAGGGACTTAAGGCCTCGTTTTGATTTGCGCCCGGCAGCACCTCAGCAGCGAGCTCGGAGGCACAAGGCCTCCAGGCTGAAATGCCAGGAGCAGCGCGGGGGCTGGTGGCGGGAAGGAGGCGGTCCCGCCCTTGGAATTGCTGAAAAGTTTTGGCCAGGGGAAGGCGGGAAGGGTCCCAGTCAGTGGTACCGCCCACCTAATTAGCCCCGCCTCTCTATTGGTGCCAAGGAAAGTGTTGGGCGAGGCGGCCCAGGGCGGGCGGGGCAGCGAAGCCGAGGCTAGCCGGACGGAGTGCACAGGTCTGGGTTGAGGAGCGCGCGACCCAGGAGGGGCAGGGGACTCCAAGTCCCTCAGGAGCACAAGTGGTGTCTTCTGAGAAGAGGAGGGCACTAACTTACTGTCCTACTAGCTGCCATCCTGGTTCAGGAATTTACCCGGGGGCACCAACTTTCTGTGCTGGGCATTCGCTGTGCCTAGCGCGCTTTCCGCTAAGGTGGAGGGCTCGGTCGTCTGTACTGCCCTCCCAGAGTCAGGGTTCTCGAGGCCAAAACGGGGCTAGGAGCTGCGCGGGGCGGGGGAGGGGGTTACTGCCAGCCTGGCTGCTGGAGATCCTTCACTGCGGCATGCAAAGGCTGAGGACTTCTCCTGGATGACTTGGATGCCCCAGGAGAGGGCGGGGAGGGGAAAGGTTCTGGCTTAGGTTCGCTCACAGGGGCAATTGCACAGTGACCAGGACCGGCTGCTACCCATGTAAGAAGTCCATCCCAAGCTCAGTGGTCCTGTGGGTGAGCGCCAATCCCTGACCTTTCTCCACGTCAACGTGGAGGGACAACGTTATGCTCAGTCTCAAGCTGCCCCCGCTCCTTCGAATCCATCAGGTCCCCGAGGTGAGGGGTCCCAACCCACCAACAGACTCTCCAGAGAACTCATTGGGGCGCAGGGTCTTCCAGAGATCGGGGAAGCCCCTCCTGCAAGCTAACTCTTAATCCTTCCCAATCCAGTGTGAGACGTCCTCTATTCTCTGCGAAACAAACCCGTGACTCTGCCCCAGAGCCCCAAAGTTCCCTCCATTGAGTCCCCTTCCCCCAGAATACCTTTTGTGTATGTTCCTCTTTCTGTCCTATCTGGTCCTAGTGGTCTAGCTTTATTGTTTGCTCTGTGGATTTGGAGGACTGTGGTAAAATAGGGGTTGGACTGAGTTTGGCTTAGGGCCACTGATCAGAGTATCTTCAACCCTGTATCCTAACGCCTTTCATGGAGGGAAAAGGCCTGCATACAGTGACTCCTCTGCTCTTTCCCACCACTACCTCCAGGTGTTCTGGGAAGATGGCATCATGTCTGGCTACTCTCACCCTACAAGCTCGGCCTTGGACTGTGTCCTCAGCTCCTTCCAGATGACCAATGAGACTGTTAACATCTGGACTCACTTCCTGCCCACTTGGTGAGGGAAGGTTCTGCCCCAGGCTGCAGCTTTGTGCCCAGAGGGGGGTGCCCAAGTGGGCAGGGACTGACTAGACACCTGCAGGCTCCACCTAAACGGGTGCCCAGTGCAGGTACTTCCTGTGGTGCCTCCTGGTGTTGGCTGGAGGACCCGGCTTCGAGGATGAGCTATACCACTGGCCACTGCTGGTCTTCATGCTGCCCACCTGCCTCTACCCCTTTGCATCATGCTGCGCACACACCTTCAGCTCAATGTCACCACAAGCACATCACATGTGCTACTTCCTGGACTATGGGGCAGTCAGTCTCTACAGCCTGGGTGAGCTAAGAGCGGTGAGTGTGGACCAGGGCGGCAGAGGGAGAGGGAAGTCCACCCAGCCTCAGCTCATACCTTGCTGCAGGCTGTGCCTTCCCCTATGCCGCCTACTCCATGCCAGCCTCCTGGTTGCACGGCTACCTATACCAGCTCTTCGTGCCCGCTGCTGCACTCAACTCCGTGTGCACCAGCCTCTCCTGCTACTCATGGTGGGCTCTCAGCATCACCAGTGGGTAAGGGTAGGCAGGGCTGGGAGTCACCTACTGTTCTTGAGCCACCCTAGTACCTAGGCCATTCCAGAGGCCTCAATGCACTAGCACCATCCTCCCTGTCCACGAAAAGCAGGTGCCTTTATGGCCTGGGAACAGATGTGACACACACAGGGGTCTTGTGTCAAAAGGGCCTTTTTATTTTCCTGTTTTAATTTTTATTACATTTATTTATTTAGTGTGTATACATGTGTACACCTTTCTCCCTTCCTCTCTCCCTCTTCCCTGTAGCCCAGTCTGGTCTTGAACTTACTGTGTAGCTAACCTTGACCTATTGATCCTCCTGGTTCTACCTCCCAAATGCTGGGACTACATCATCACACATAGGTCCTGAGTGCTCTCTTCGCCATAGTTCTATGAATGCCCATTTTGACCCAAGGTGCCTTGCCCTTCTTAACCAGCAAGGCCCTCCGCACAGCTGCCTTCACTTATCCCTTCTTGTTTGACAGCCTTCCTCTCTTCTACCGAGTAATGGCCCTCTGCGTTGACCTAGAGATAGAGCAGGGGAAGGTCAGGGATTGGCGCCCACCCACAGGACCCTTTGGCCAGATTCAGGCAAGATTCAACCACTGAGCTTGGGATGGACTTCTTACATGGGTAGCAGCCAGTCTAGGACCCTTCTGAGACCCTTTTCTGTCATCTTGACCTCATGGTGTCCCTCAGCTCTCTGCCTACTCTCCAGGCTCAGCCCGCAGGCTCCCTGCTTGGCATCCCCACCAGATCCCACATGCACCCCTTGTTTCCTCTCCCAAAGGGCCTCCCCAGCAGCTGTGCTTTCCTTTTGCCAGCTCGGGCTGTGCTGGGCCAGGGCCCACGGCTGTGGGCAGGAGGCACTGAACTCCAACCATGGCTACCATCTCCTCTGCGCACTGCTCACAGGTCTCCTCTTCGCAGCCCGTCTGCCAGAGCGGCTGGCACCTGGGCGCTTCGACTACATTGGTGAGAGCACACCTTGGCCTAGGCTGACTTGGTAGAGCAGGAAGGCTGCTTCCCCAAGTTCAGAGTGATCTGAGCAAATGGGGTGTCCTAGCCTGCTGGTGGATAATAAAGCCAGGAGGGATACCCAGTCCCCTGCTCCAGCCCCTCTCCTCCCACCTCTGATACAGAACTGAGGCACATCAGCTCAGACACTGCCAGCAACTCAAGAAGTCAGGTTTTCTCCTTCCCAGGCTCAGAGGATAGGGTGACTGTCCTGAGTCACATGTGAGTCAGTTCAAAACTGAGATGGGTCTATACCTAACTAGTCGACCCTCCCTCCAGGCCACAGCCACCAGCTGTTCCACATCTGTGCAGTGCTGGGCACCCACTTCCAGCTGGAGGCAGTGCTAGCTGACATGCGATCCAGCAGAGCCTAGCTGGCCACGAAGGAACCACCCCTGGGCCTGGAGAGCATGGTGGCCATATTGAGCCTGGGAGTGGCTGGGAACCTGCTCATCATTGCTGAGCCACCTTGCTTTGGGCCCCTGGAAACTGCCCCTACTGCGGGGTGGCCCACCAGAAGAGGGACCCCAGGCTAAACAACACTGAGGCCCATCTCTGGTATGGGCCTGGAGGGAGGCAGAGGCCTGGCCTTAGTGTTAAAGAGCTCAGACCTGGACCTGAGGTCTTTATGGCTAAAGGGGGAACAGTCTAGGGGACTGGTGGAGAGAGGAACCAAGAGGCAAGTACTATGGGTCTGTGAAGGGAGACAGGAATCCAGGCAAGAGCAGCCTACAGGCTGGAGTGGGAGGTGTGGAGACCCTTCAGCTGGCCTCTTTCCTGGTGTCCTGGAATCTGCTTAGCTCAGGCCATCCTGAGTGCTTATTAGCCAGCAGGGCCACATATCTACCTTGTCTCAGGCTAGGTTGTTACCACCTGCCAGAGGGCTCAGAGGTCTAAAATATGGGTTGTCTGTCCTGGTCACAGTTGTGATCCAGTGACCAGGCCTCCACTGGCTGTTATGTTTGGATGTGTCCTGAGTCATGTACCAGATGAGAGGGGGTGGTGTGGGGAGGGGGGCTAGCTAGACTTTAAGAGGCCACCATTAGTACTTTCTAGAACAAGGCAGGTAAAATAAATAAACTAGGACAAACTTCTGGGACTGAAAAAATTGAAGCCCCCCTCTCCTCCCATAATGGACAGACTCAGGTCCACCAGTTCCTCATCTGGACTTTATTTTGGAGCAGCTGTGCTGTCCATACTTGCAGGTCAGAGAGGGAGACAGGGAAGGGGGATGTCCTGGAGTGGAAGGAGTCAAAGCTGGAGCTGCTGTCTGGCCCTAGAGCAGTGCATGCCCTAAGCAGTGGTGCCGTAGAAGTGCTGGTAGGCATCCTGGAAGCCGATGTGATCTGCCAGCTCATCACAACTGGGGTTAAACTCACACACCTCCCTCTTGGGCTCCAGGGGATCTGGGTAGGGGGCTGGGGCTCTGAGAAGCCCCACACAGCTGCATCAACCAAGGAGGAGGAGGGGTACCCATTCCTTCCTCCCTCACACAAGGGGCTTCAGGGTTCCTGCCATGGGGAAATTACCCTACCTTGTCCAGACCCCAGCACAACTCCCCCCTGCCCACCTGGGAGGCAAAGGACCTGACTCAGCACCTCATTCCCACTTACCCCAGTCCATGGTCCAGGTAGCGCCGGAGTCTCTTCACTACCTCATTGCCCTCCTGCTTGGACATGAAGGCTGTGGAGCAGAGGGGCAGGGTCAGGCCACTCTGGGTTTGGGAGGACAAGGTAGTGAGTAGATAGCCAGACAGGAGGCAGGAGCTGGGCAGGTGGAGGCTGAGGGGACAAGGTGAGGAGCAGGGCTGGGGATCCACCAGGTTTCCTACCTGCACCCTTTTTAGACTCGGAGCCACTGGGCTTTGCATCTGTAAAGAAAATAGGCAGAGTCCAGGACAGATGAATTGACATTCAGGAGGGTGGTTATTCTACAGAAGTAAAAGGTGAGAAATGGGGCCTGGAGCATCTAGGAGTGGGTACTCAGTAGGGTGGGGATACTAACCTGCTGGGCCAGAGAGATAGAATGCAGCCAGGGTCAGAAGAGTGAGCAGAGAGAAGATCCTCATGGTGTCTGCCAGCGCTGTGTCAGGATGCTGTGTGGGACTCATGCTCTGTGCCCTCCAGCCTGCAGGACCATTTATACCCACTGTCTGTGTCCCCATGTTGGCAGGCAGGGCAGGGAAAGCTGCCAGGACTAATTGGGGGTCATGTGTCCTGATCTGGTAGGTCAAACCCAAAGGATGTTGTGGTTGGGGATTGTAGCTGCCTGGGCAAGGCCCTTGGAGTGGTAGGAGGGTGGGCCACAATCAGAGGCTGCCAAGCTCTGACACTGCCCCAGACTTCTTTTGTCAGGGGCTGCTCTACATTCCCTCATTTCTATCTCCTTGGAGACCTCCAGCCTCAGTGTGAGCACTGGCTGAGCCCTAGAGATAACCTAGAGAGGAAGGGGGCTCAGAGGTCTAAAATAGGATTGAGGACTGGGCTCCAGCTCTCATAGCCTGTGATTTACATGTCTACCACAGGGGCAGGAGCCAAACCTCAGGAAGGGAGTGGCTCAGTGACGTCCTCATTCAGTCAGCACAGTCCTGGTACAGGGCAGCTCAGTTCATCAGGCCAGGAGGTATAGGTAGCAAAAGACCAAGAGCCATAAGCCTACAGACATGGGGGTGGTAGAGATAAGGACAGCCTCTCCACTTCTGGGACAGTCCCCATACACAGAAGCACAGGACAAGGAAGTGGATGCTAGTGGGGAGGCCTGCAAGTAGCAGGGTTGTAGCATGTACATACAGAATCCTGAGTTTGCCTTGGAGAGGGACCTGCCCCTTGCCAGGTGACAGGAAGGCTTGTCTTCACAGGGGCAGAACATCCCAACCTGACCCACCCACTCCCAACTCAAAGCTACCAGGCAGGTGTAGGGGGGTAGGGCAGTTGTTCCCTGCCTGACCTGTATCTTTGATTACCCGCCTACCAACCTGAGATCAGATCAGTAGCCCAACTAGACAGGTAATAGTACTAGATGGAGCGGGCCAGGCAAGAGGGAAGCAGAACATCCAGGGGCCTAAACCCTGCAGCTCTCTGGTGAAGAGGGCCAGGAGAAGTGGTACTAAGGCTCACTTTATGGGGAGAGGGACTGTGAGCAGAGGCCACCACAATGTCTTATCTGTCCCCAGGGTTCCTCATATCCAACCAAACCAGTCTACAGGTTAGGGATAGACCCCCAGTCACCAGGGAAAAATGTCTACCCAAGCCATCCTGTTCTTTACCCGGGGAATGACCACCCTTCCACTGTTGGGCCTGGCTGGAGAAGAGTGAGGTAGGAGAAGCAAGGCAAAGTGTTCTGCTATCCTGGAGACACCCATCACATTCTCAGAAGTAACCCAAGAGCAGCAAAGGGCAGGGTGTTTTAGACAGTAATACACTGTGGTAGCTAATCCTGAACTTAGGGAACCCAGGGGTCCTGGGTTCTGCTACCTTCTGCACACGGTGATCAAACAGAACCTACCCACCCCACCCCAGTGTTCTGCTATCCTGGAGACACCCATCACATTCTCAGAAGTAACCCAAGAGCAGCAAAGGGCAGGGTGTTTTAGACAGTAATACACTGTGGTAGCTAATCCTGAACTTAGGGAACCCAGGGGTCCTGGGTTCTGCTACCTTCTGCACACGGTGA